AGATCCCAAGAGGAGAATGGAGGAGAAGGGATTGTGGTGTGGCCATCCCCCCTGGGGGGTGATTTCTCGCTTTCTGTCTCTATGTCTCTCTCTCTTTCTCTGTCTGGCGAGCACACGTGCCCTATAGCGAAAACCTCTCCCAAAAAAAGAGAGAGAACAAAAAACTTAAAGCCAGGAAACAGGTTAGGATTTTGTTCAAATAGTAGGTACATGAACCTGTCGACAGCTCAAGGCAGGACAAAAATCCTTAAAATGGAGAACAAAGTCTAGAAGAAAATCAGCAGTGTTTTAATCAAAAGTCATAAAATGCTATTTCACCAGTTCAGTCTCATGTACTTTATCTTCTGTTAGGTTCGATCTTCCCAATTAAATTCTGGGATATAATATTCAACTCCAGACTTGTCCCTAAGATTGTGTTGGCCATTTTCTTAGTTTTTTAACTCTTATTTCTTTGTGTCTGTATTTAATTTTCCTGGTATAGCACTCCCTTTAGAATTTCTTGGAGATCTGGTCTGGTATTGGTAAATTCGCTCAGGTTTTGTTTATCTGAGAACATCCTTGTCTTTTCTTCCCATATGAAGGATAATCTTGCCGGGTACAGTATTTTTGGTTGAAATTGCTTTTCTCTTAAGACTTTGAATATATTTTCCCATTCTTTCCTCGCTTGCACTGTTTCTAATGAGAGGTTTGCTGTTAGCCTGATGGGATATCCTTTGTAGGTAACTTGCCATTTTTCTCTTGCCAATCTTAGTATCTTGTCTTTGTCTGTGGTTTTAGTCAAACTGGCTCTAATGTGTCTTGGAGAAGGTCGTCTTGGGTTGATTCTATTTGGGGTCCTTTGTATTTCTTGGGACTCGATCTTTGAATGCCTCTCTAGATTTGGAAAGTTTTCTTCCAGGATTTCTTGGAATACATTATCAATGCCCTTATGAGTCTCTTCGCCTTCTGGAATGCCCGTTATCCAGATATTTGGATGTTTGATGGTATCTAGTATTTCTCATATAATATTCTCTCTTTTTTTTTTTTTTGCAAATTTCTGTCTTTGTGGTGGATTTTTGTAGGCCAACAATTTCTCTTCTACGTTGAGATTCTATTTTCTGTATGCTCTAGTCTGCTTTTAATACTTTCAAGTGAGATTTTTGACTTCCTGTATTATAGCCTTCATGTCTAACAGGTCCATTTGATTCTTATTAAAAGTATGTAATTCCTCTTTTAGATCTTGCAAGAATTTCCTCACCTCCTGGAACTCATCAACTCCTTTCTCCTGCCTCTTCTGCAGTTTATTGTCTCTCTTCTCTTCCATCTCTGTTAGCTTCATCATTATGAATATTCTAAATTCTTCATCAGATATTTCCATGATTTCCATTGAACTATCTGTGGATGAAGAGGAGTTATTCTTTTCTCTTGGAAGAGAGATATTTTCTTGCTTTCCCATATTTCTTGTGGCCCTGTGGGATTTCTAGTCATCTGATGGATGGTGTGTTTCTTCCTAATTCTTGAAGTTCAATCTGAGCATTCAGGAACATGCAGAAGGAGGTGATGTGGAATATCTTTGTCATTCTGTTTTTATTCCTTTGTGCAGCAGATTCAGTGAATATTGAGGAATATGTTAACCCTAATAATATTTGGATGTTTGGCTTTGGTTCCCGTAGATCCATCTAGAAACACAGTGAATAGAGACTGAGGGGCAGAGTGATGAGATAAAAAGAAAAGGAAACAGAGGGAAAACGAAAACAAACAAACAAAAAAACAGAGAAAAAAATAAGGGAAAAAAATTTTTATTTTATTTTATTTTTTTAAAAAGCAAAAAATAAAAAATTGCTCAGCCCGTGAGCGTGCTGCGTGAAATCACTAGTTCCCAGGAGCCATGGAGGAGTCTTCTTCTGAAGGCCTGCCCCTTGCCTCTCCACTCAAGTTCGGGGACTAGAGGCTGAATTATCAGTAGAAAAATCTTCATTTCTCTTTTTTCCCTGAAATCTCTAGTTCTCAGGAGCTATGGAGGAATCTTCTTCTTGGGTACAGAGTTTTTTTGAGGGACGATGGAAAGTTTCTAGAGATTAATAGCGGTAATGATAACTCAACATTTTAAATGTTCGTTTTTCTTTTTCTTTTTTTAATTCTTTTTTTATGTTGTATTTAATCACATGTATCTTTACAGTGTATGACATTTCATTGTGAATATTCTTAATGCACAGAATTATATCCTTAAAGCTGGTTGAAATAGTAAAATTTTCATGTATATTTTGCCACACACACAAAAATAACCTCTGCCAACTTCATATAATATTCAAAATATGATTAAATATCTTGGGCTGGTTCTTTAGCCTGGTTGTTAAGGCAAATGGATCCCACATGCCCAATACTATGGTTTGGGTCCTGGACCCAGTATCTTGAGAAATGTATCAGGCACATGTGCCTGCATGCCTGTCTTGTTGGGACAAGATGGAGAAATGAAGAGAAGAGATTGATATGACCATATCCCATTGGAAAGGGTACTTTCTCCCTATCCCTGTCTCTGTCTCTCTGGTAAGTGAACATGCCCTCTGGCAAAATAATAAAATCAAATTAACATTTCGAAGGCCCTTTACAGGGGCTGGCAGGTGACATGATGGTTAAGGTGCTGATCTCCCATGTGGTCAACTGCAGTTCAAGTCCTAGACCTGGCTTGCTTTCTCACTTTCCCTTTCTCTCTCTCTGTCTTTGGTAAAATTAAAACACAGATAATAATAAGAAATTTAAAAATAAAAGTAAATAAATAATTTTTTAAAAGGCCCTTTACAGTTTGCTTACTTTTTAAATGAGTTAATTATCTAACCTTATTAATTATTATTATTATTATTATTTTAATTTGACCAGAGAGTGAGAAAGAAGGGAAAGTGAGAAGGCAAGCCACCAAGTCCAGGACTTGAACCACAATCAGCTATGTGGGAGCCCCTCGCCCAAACCACCATACCACCTGCCAGTTCCCAGTTTGCTTATTTTTAATCATATGTATTTAACCTTAAATCATTTCTCTGAACATCCCTGCATCTCTGGCATCATAGTTTTTCTCTATATAATATGCTTTTTTTCATTTAAAATTTAGCTTAAAAAGTATACCTTCACAACATATGACATATTAAAATCAATATTTTTCTTATTGCTGTTAGTACTTTAGACTTGCTTATAGCAATTAGCACATGTGTTCTGTGGTATACTTATTTAATTGCATCTTGTGTCTTAAGGATTGCAAGCTTTTTCAATCTTTCATGTAGTAGACAGACTCAACAAATGTTCACTGAATTGAATCTAATCTTTTTCATTTTTGTGAAGGGGAAACTGTAATTCAGGGAGGCTGCACAGTTGCAGAACCTGAAAGAGTTTAAGGGTCTAATTTCTGTCTTTCAAAAATTTTCACGGGACCAATGGGTGGTGTGGTGGTTAAGGAGCTGAACACTCTCACATGGCCGACCATGATTTGAGTCCCAGATCTGGTGGCTTGCTTTCTCGCCTTCTCTCTGTCTCTCTCTCTCTGTGTCTCTCTCCGGGCAAATTAAAATCGAATGAATACATAAAGTTAAATAAATTCTTTAAAAAATATTTTGGAACCAGCAGATGGTATAATGGCTATGTTGCTGGCCTCACGGTTTGAGTCCTGGACCCAATGGCTTAAACTCACACTGGGCGCATGTGTGTGAATGTCCAATATCCCAAGAGGAGAATGGAGAAGGGATTGTGGCGTGGCCATCTCCCCGGGGGGGTGATTTCTTGCTTTCTGTCTCAGTCTTTCTGGCAAGCGCACTGCCCTATAACAAAAACCTCTCCAAAAAAATTTTTTTTTCACTCTGTATTAACATGCTAAAGATCATGCATCCTGTGGCTGCTCAGTCTGTATTGATGTGAGACAATTCAATTTTGTAGTGCAGAATAAACACTACATCCCACCTATGATTCCTTTTTTTTTTTTTGGCAGTGGGCATGCGTACTCACCAGAGACAGAGAGTAAGGGAGAGGGGATAAACATCTCCCATTGGGGTGTGGTTCATTGCAATCCTTTCTCCTCCATTTCTCCATTCTGATGGAATTTTGGGGGCACACAAATATGCACCCAGTATGTTTGTCAAACCATTGGGACTAGGTCTAGGATTTGAACCATGGCCAAACCACCATGTTGGATCTAGCTTCTTTAACCACTATGCTACAGGGCTAGCCCTGAATTTTTTTTTTCTTGTTTTGGAGAGGTTTTTGCTATAGGGCACCTGCGCTCGCCAGACAGACAGAGACAGAGAGACAGAAAGCGAGAAATCACCCCGCAGGGGGGATGGCCACGCCGCAATGCCTTCTCCTCCATTCTCCTCTCGGAATCTTGGGCACGCGCGCCCAGCATAAGTTTAAGCCACCGGGTCCGGGACTTAAACCGCAGTAGACTATGTGGGAGTCCAGCAACATAGCCTTTATGCTAACTGCTGGTTCCTAGCCCTGAATTTTTTTATTCATGTAAAAAATTAATGTTTTTGAAATTTTTATACTTACGAAGAGCATGATGTATATTATTCTTTTTTTTATTTTTTCAGTTTCATGTTTCCTGTTACTGGTGGAATAAGACCTCCTCAAGGTATGTGAAAGCTTGCTTTGAACTTTGTTTTCTCATGATTATGTTCCTGAAATTGGGAGTTAAATGAGTAAATAGAAAGTTGTGGGAACCAGCAGGTGATGTAAAAACGGTTATGTTGCTGGATTCCCACATAGTCAACCATGACAGTCCACAATCCTGAGTGGAGAATGGGGGAGAAGGGATCGTGGAATGGGCATTCCCCCCTGGGGGTGTGATTTCTTGTTTTCTGCCTCTGTCTCACGTAGGAGACCTATAGCAAAAATCTCTCTTAAAATAATAAAAGAAAGTAAGTTCTGTTGCTGCCAAATAGAGTAAAATTTTCTTACAGTGATAAAACTATATGACAGCTACTCTAAAAATTACTCAAATGTAACATAATTTGAGGAATGATAAGGATTAATCCTTATATCTTCTAAACTTATTTAAACATTATGTTGACAGATTTTTATTTAATCTTAGCGAGGAAAGATACTTTCAGGATAAGGGTTTTAAAGAACAGGTAGTAAAATGAAGTGAACTGGCCAGCTGGTAGGTTAAGGGTTAAGGCAGCTTGATCACACATGGCTTACCCTGTGGTTCAAGTCCCTGACCCTATGCTTGAGAAACACACCAGGCGCATGGGCATGTATGCCCATAATCACAAGAGGAGAATGGAGGAGAAGGGATTATGGTGTGGCCATCCCCCTTGGGAAGTGCTTTCTTACTTTTCTTCTCTCTCTTCCTCTGTCTGTCTCTGGTTGAGTACATGTGCCTTATAGCAAATTTAACAAACAAAAAAAGAGATGATGAAATGAGCTATGATTCTCTTAATGACATCTTTCTCTGTCTATTCTGATAGACCGTTAATGACATAGGTGAACATGTTACAGCAACCAGCATGCTGGTAGAACCTAATAGATACTCTGTAGATGCTTGTAGAATGAATAAACAAACCTCTTGGTGTGATCTTATAGTAATCATGTTCTTCAAAGGGATAACATATTCTGATTTGCTTTGAAGTATCAGGTATTGAGTCTCAGTTTTATTCCTGGAAATTACTGGGCATACCCCTTTTTCTCTTGTTTTCAGATCAAGGCCCACTAATATCAGTTCTAGCTTGATCTTGAAAGAAATAGTGAAGGGATACAACCTTGACCCATGCTGCATTGCAAATGGGACACAACTTTGAAGGAAAACTATATCTGGCCTTCTTTCACTTCTGTCTGCTCACGCCTCCCACTCCACTTTGCTCCTCCTCACATGCCAAGCTACTTTAGAAAACTGGCTCATTGTACAAAGCCAGCGTGATCAATTGTGGTACACTTGCTAGAGAAACAGAGACTCCTAGGTCACCAGTAGAGATGAAAGATAAAGACCAGCTCAGGAGCAGGTGGTCAGTGGCTCATCCTGACTTTGTCTCCCTTTTTAATCAGTGATGAGGTTGAGTTACAGGTAAATTTTTCCAGGGGTCAGTTATACTCTTTTCATTGTGATCACATTTATGTATTATTTAAGCTATCTGTAATTAGATTTGTTCCAGATTTAGATCAAATGGTTTGAGATCTTTTGTTCTTTAGAAAAGTATTACAGAGTTATATGTTCATTATTGTGGCTCAGTGCTTTGCATCATTTTACTTTCAAGTAAAAATCTGTACAGAGTGAAGGAAACAGATGAGAAAAGGTCCCTGGATGCCTGATATTTTTTTCTTTTGGAATTCAGAATTCTTTTGGAGATTTTTTTTTTTTGAGAGGTTTTTGCTATAGGGCACGTGCGCTCGCCAGACAGACAGAGAGAGACAGAAAGCGAGAAATCATCCCCACGGGGGATGGCCACACCGCAATCCCCTCTCCTCCGTTCTCCTCTCAGGATCTTGGGCACGCACACACATGCGCCCAGCGTGAGTTTTAAGCCACCGGGTCCAGGACGTCCGGGACGTGAACCGCGGTCGACTACATGGGAGTCCAGCGACATAGCCATTACACTAACTGCTGGTCCCTGGATAATTTATTTTTAAAGAATTATTTAATTTTATTTATTCATTCATTTATTTTAATTTGACGAGAGAGACACACAGAGGGGGAAGTGAGAAAGAAAGCCACCAGGTCCAGGACTCGAACCATGGTTGGTTACATGGGAGTGTCCAGTGCCTTAACTACCACATCACCTGCTGGCCCCCGATAATGTTTTTTATAGAACATTTTAGAATGAACTTTTTAATGATTTGAAGGTCTTAAATTATGCATGGATCATATCTAGAAGCATGTATAAGAAACCAATACAGGGGGCCAGCAGGTGGCATGGTGGTTAAGGTGCTGGACCCTCCCACATGGCCAACCATTGCTCGAGTCCCAGACCTGGCGACTTGCTTTTTTATTTTCTCTCTCTCTCATCAAATTAAAATAAATGAATTAATTAATAAATAAAATTAATTTTTTTTAATTTTTAAAAATTAAAATTAAAACTATTAAAATAAAAATTTTTAAATAAAAAGAAACCAAGAGCAGGAGTGGCCACAAGATGATGGATACTTGAATGGGAGACAGGAGAAAGAAGGAGATTTATTTTTCAGCGTGCTAAATACCTGAATTACCCATTCAAAACTAAAATTAATTATGGATTCCCATGTGGTTGATTGCAATTTGAGTCCCAGATCCAGTGGTTTGAAACTCACGCCCAGCATATTTGTGTGTGTGTGTGTGTGTGTGTGTGTATGTGTGTGTGTGTGCACATGCATGCCCAAAATCCCAAGAGGAAAATGGAGGAGGATTGTGGTGTGGTCATCCCCCCTGGGGGGTGATTTCTTTCTTTTTGTCTCTCTGTTTCTCTGTCTCTCCAGCAAGTGCATATGCCCTATAGCAAAAATCTCTCAGGAAAATAAAAATTAATTGATGTGAACAGAATTCCAGATCTAAAGGGCAAAGAGGGAAAATATCTTAACTATGCACTCTAATTCTCTCTCATGTCAGTCTTTGCATTTGGTATTTCCTTATCTGGAATACTCTTCCCACATATCTGTATGGCTTGCTTCCTTCTGTCCTTTGCAACCCTGTGGGTGAAACCTTTTCTGGCCACCTTATACTAGATAGCAACCACTCCAGTCCCCGAGGTACTAGTGTGTACTGTTATCTGGCATGTACATTTTTTTTTCTTTTTAAAATTATTATTAGCTATCTCCCCCAATTACAAGGTAGGTTCAGTAAGGGAAAACTCAGATAACCTGGAAGGGACAAAAATTACTAGATAAACATGGTACACTTTGCCAGATCTTTAATTTTTAAAATTTATAATTTGTTTAAAAGTTTCTTATAGTAGAACCAACATGGATATAATATGTGATAAAATGCAAAATTAGAATGAAATGTGTGCGTGCACTGTTGTATACCAAACATAGAACTGTACCTGGATATATGGTAGGCATTTAGTATTTACTAAATCCTCAAAGTGATGTATAGTCCTTCTCCTCTGCTCTTGGGAGTACTTCATTGGAAAAGTTTAGGAGATATTCATCTAACACACTTCATGATAGTTTTTCTGCCATTGCGTTGTATAGTTTACATTCTGATACTGTTTGGTGAGTGTTACATTAATTATTCATGTAAAGAAAGGGAAAAAGAACAATAAGTTTTACCGTATTAAGTATTAAACAGTTTTACAGATAAAAATCCAAGGCACAGAGGCCAACCGATGGCGTTGTGGTTGAGGCACTGGACTCTCGCATGGCCGACCACAGTTCAAGTTCTGGACTGGGTGGCTTGCTTTCTCACTTTCCCTCTCTCTCTCTCTCTGTCTCTCTCTCTGGTAAACTGAAAATAAGTAAGTAAAATTAATAAAAAATTCTTTTAAAAAAAAATCCAAAGCACAGAAGTTAAGCAACTTGTTCAAGGTCCCAAAGCTATTAAGTAGATGGAGTTTTACTTGACTTTCAGAGTTTGTGCTCTTTTTTTTTTTTTAATAATTTTTCAGTTTAATTTTATTCATTATTACTATATTTTAATTTGACCAGAGAGAGGGAGAAGGGGGAAAGTGGGAAAGCAAGCCGCTAGGTCCAGGACTTGAGCCACAGTCAGCCACGTGGGAGTCCAGCACCTTAACCGCCACACCACCTGCTGGCCCCATGCTCTTTTTTATTTTAAGTAAACTTATACTTTATTTTTTCCATTTTTATTTAATTTGCCAAAGGATGTGTGCGTCTGTGAAAGAGGGAAAGGAGAAAGCACCCTTCAATGGAGTGTGATCACCTTGCAATCCCTTCTACATTTTTCCACCTTGTTGGGATTTGGGTCAACACATGCACACACCTGGCACGTTTGTCAAGCTACTGGCTCTGGGATTCAAACTTTGGGGTTTGGCCATGTCGGGGCCAGCTCCCTTAACCACTAAGCAACAGGACCAACCCCATGAATATTTCATTTTTAAAATTTTTTAAAAATTTTATTTATTTTTATCTTTATTGTTTTTTTGCCAAGGGCACATGCACTCACTAGTGAGAGAATGTACTCTAGTAGGGTGTGGTCACATTGTAGTCCTCTTCCTCTGTCACGTCAAGATTTGGGCCAGCCTGGTTTTGTTTTTGTTTTTAAGAGAGATTTTTGCTATAGGGCACATGCACTCACTGGAGACTGAGAGGAAGTGAGAAACTGCCCCCAACCCAGGGGTGGCCAGTCCCTTCTCCTCTATTTTCTTCTTGGGATTTTGGCACACATGCACACAGGCCTGGTGTGAGTTTCAGCCACCGGGTCCGAGACTTAAACTGCATTTGACCATGTGGAAGTCTAGCACCTGAACCCCTCGCCACCTGCTGGCCCATTTTTTTCTCTTTTTTAAGTTGCCAGGGTTGGGTCACTTGGGTCAACCATGTGAGATTAACTGCTGCCCTACAGGGCCAGCCCCAGAGTTCTCACTTCTGTTATTGTATTAGTTACCTGCTGCTATGAAACAGACTACCCCAGAACTTTAAAAAAAGAATTATTTCACATGTGTCTATAGGTCACAAATCTGAGAGCTCCTTTGCTGAGTGATTCTCACTCAGAGCTTCTCAGAGATTGCAGTAACGATACCAGCCAGGGCTGCCGTCCTCTACAGGATACATGGAGCTAGAAGATCTGTCTCTGAGATGGCTCGTTCACATAAATGTCAAATTCGTGCCGCCTTTTGGCAGGAGGCCTCAGTTCCTCACTACATGGATTCTTTATAGGGCTGCTTAAGTATTCTCACAGTGTAGCAGTGACTTGCCCCAGACCAAGTGATCCAAGAGAGCAAGAAGGAAGCTCCAGTGTCTCTGAAGAACTAGCCTTGAGAATACGCACCGTCGCTTCCATGATGTCCTGTCTGGTTATACTCGTCAGCCCTATTCAGTGTGGGAAGGAACAACATATGCATAGCATGAATACCAGGAGGCAGAGATCATTGGGGGCCATCTCGAAGGCCAAGTACCACAGATAAGCTGTACTGTTAATTTTTAAAATATGCATAAAAATTTATATAGAACAGATCTTACTGTCTTCATGTTACAGATGTTTTGTAACTTGCCTAAGCTTACACAGCTAAGTATATGACAGAGTTGGAATTCACACTCAAGTCTGTCTCATTTAGAAGCCTGTACTTTTTCCGTTGCATTTGCCGCATCTCCCAAGTAACAAGTGCTTTAGATACTTACGGTTTAAAAAATATCAGCTTTAAAATATATTGACTTGAGGCCGGTAGGTGGCGAGTGGTGGTTAAGGCAGCTGGACTCCCATATGGCTGACCATGGTTTGAGTCCCGGACCTGACATTTTGCTTTCTCACTTTTCTTCTCTCTGTCTCTCTCTGGTTGACTTCAAAAAAATAAAAAGGGAAATAATGACAATGAATAATTTTTTTTTTTTTTTTAAAGAAAACACATTGACTTTACTGGTGCCTTTATGTTTTCACAGCAGGCCTGATGCCGATGCAGCAACAAGGATTTCCTATGGTCTCTGTCATGCAGCCTAATATGCAAGGCATGATGGGAATGAATTACAGCTCTCAAATGTCCCAAGCACCTATTGCTATGCAGGTATTTGCCTCTTTAGTCAATTGTATACAAGGTTATTGTTCATTGTTATATTTACATACCAAGAGCTGCATACTAAAACCTTAATGTTATATTTAGAAATAAGGTAGTCTGCCTTTTAGTGGCTTCTTTCAAAATAAAAATGCAGATATGTTTGTAAGAGTGAGAAAAAAAATAAGTAAAATCATTGAAGGAAAATCTCTTGAATTCTTTATTTCATTACTGACTCAGAACAGTTTTAGAATAACATCTTGGAAGATTAGGGAACCTGATGCCATGAAGTAGCATCATGAGAAGCAGTCGTACTGTTCTCATGAAAGAAACAGAGCAGAGCACTGCTAGGAGGGCTTAGAATGAAAAACTCTATTGTTTCAGAGAGAGGTTTGTTTTTATTTTTTAAGAATTATTTTATTTAACTTTACTTATTTATTAATTTTTTAAAGAATTATTTATTTAATTTTATTTATTCATTCATTTATTTTAATTTGACCAGAGAGAGAGAGAGAGAGAGAGAAAATGAGAAATCAAGGCATCAGGTCCAGGACTCAAATTGTGGTCAGCCATGTGGGAGTGTCTAGCACCTTAGCCACCATGCCACCTGCTGGTCCCTTTTTTAAAAAATTATTTCATTTGACTTCATTCCTATATTTATTTTTTTATTTAAATTTGACCAGAGAGAGAGGGGGAGAAAGTGAGAAAGCAAGCCACCAGGTCTGGGACGCAAACCCTGGTGGTCGGCCATGTGGGAGTCCAGTGCCCTTAACCACCACACTACCTGCTGGCCCCTATGTACTTATTTATTTTTAATTTGACCAGAGAAGGATAGAGTGAGAGAGAGAAAGAGAGAAAACAAGCCACCAGGTCCAGGACTCAAACCTCAATCAGCTATGTGGGAGTCCAGCACCCTTAACCACCACGCCACCCATCAGCTCCCTAGAGAGAGGTTTTTGCATGTTCTCATGCTGGAGAGAGAGAGAGAGAGAAAGCAAGAAATCACCCTCTGAGGGGGATGACTACACAGCAGTCCCTTCTCCAGTCTCCCTGTGGATTCTGGGCATGCATGCACACTTGCCTGGCGTGAGTCTGAAACCATATGGTCCGGAATTCAAACTGTGATCAACTACATGGAAGTCCAGTGGTGTAACCATTATGCCATCTGCTGGTCCCTAACTCTCACTCTTAATACTGAATCATCTCACTTAATCCTTAACAACTTTGTAAAGAGCTGGAGTGTCTGATCTGGTGAGGAAACTAAAACATTGTGAGGATGTAAGCCAGATTTGGAGCTCAGTCTCAGTGTGTCTAGACTTAACCAAGTATACATATTATATGTTAAATTCTCTCCTAGGGGCACTAGGGAGCCATTGACTAGTTTAAAGCAGCAGATTTGTATTTCAGAAAGTTTTTTTTTTTAGAGAGATTTTTTTCCCCCAGGGGGATGGCCACGCTGCAGTCCCTTCTCCTCCATTTTTCTTTTGAGAGTTTGGGCACGCACACACACACGTGCCTGGCATGAGTTTTAAGCCGGGTTTGAACTGCAGTTGACTATGTGGGAGTTCAGTGGCGTAATCATTACATCATCTGCTGGTCCTTTTTAGAAAGATTCTTACTGCCGTTGAGAGGATGATTGCAGGGAGAGGAGAGAATGAGTGGATATGGGGAAAATCATTGCAAGCTGATGGATGTTTTTGAGAACTATTTAGGAAATAAAATCAGAAGGACTTGCTGAGTGATTGGATATTGGAAAATAAAGGAGAATAAGCACTGTAGCCTAGTAGTTAAAGGAACTTGATCCCATGTGACCAACTGCAGTTCAAATTCTGGCCCCAGAAGCTTGAGAAATATGCTGGGCGTGTGTGTACGTACATGTGCATGCATGCCTCAAACCCTGATGGGATGGAGAGATGAGGTTGCATCATGACCAAGCCCCATTGGGAGTGCTTTCTCTCTCTCCTTCTTGTTTCTAGCAAGTACATGCACCCTCTGGTAGTTGGGGAAAAAAGAGTGAATGAACAAACGGAGAAGGCAATATTCAGTTGAGTCTCCATTTTTTGCAAGAGTAACTTGCCATTTGTTAATAAAAGAAATCCTGGAGGAGGTTGCTTTATGGTACATACTGACTTTGAAGAACCCATAAAACATTAATAAGGTTTCCTGGAACTCAAGATTTTTCACTCCAGGTGGAAAAATACAGATTTGCTATATAAAGCATAGAAAGGTAATTAATGTCACGGGGGTGAATTGGAGCACCTACAAAGACTACAGTGGAGAAAACAGTCCTGGATAGAGCCTTCAGGATTTCAGCATTTAAATCTTAGTGAGTGAGTTGCTTGTGCAGGATATTGAAGAGAAACCACAGAAGGAGGGAGAAAATTGAAAGAAAATACATGGATTTTGGAGGCAGACAGACCTAAGATAAATCCTCGCTTTGCCACTTACCTGTAAAATGGAGACATTGTAATACCTAGCTAGAATGGCTGAGAACATATTATATAAAGGTTTTAACATTGTACCAGGCACATTGTGAACTTACAGGAAGGGCAATTCATTTTTATTTCTTATTATTAATGTTAATAGTATTCTTATTTCAAATATACTAGAACACATTGTTTTTGGCCGGGGGCGGGGGGGGAAGGTTTTCGCTATAGGGCGCGTGTGCTCACCAGACAAACAGAGAGAGACATAGAGACAGAAAGCGAGAAATCACCCCCCAGGGGTGATGGTCACGCTGCAATCCCTTCTCCTCCATTCTCCTCTCGGGATCTTGGGCACGCACGCACACGCGCCCAGCGTCAGTTTTAAGCCACCGGTTCCGGGACGTGAACCACGGTCGACTACGTGGGAGTCCAGCGACATAGCCATTATGCTAACTGCTGGTTCCCAACACATTTTTAAAAAGAGGAGAGTTTTGGATTATAAAATAAACAACACTAATAAATAAATTAATTAATTTAAAAAAGGAACCAGCAGTTGGCATAATGGCTATGTCTCTGGACGCCCCTGTAGTCGACCACAGTTCGAGTCCCAGACCCAGTGGCTTAAACTCATGCTCGGTGCGTGTGCATGCCTTCCCAAGATCCCGAGAGGAGAATGGAGGAGAAGGGATTGTGGCATGGCCGTCCTCCCTGGGGGTGAAGCTTTCTATCTCCCTGTCTCTGTCTTTCTGGCGAGCACATGTGCCATATAGCAAAAACCTCTCCATAAGTAAATAAACAACACTTAGAGCTAGATTGACACTGAATGGCAAACATTGGAGAACTTGAGTGAATTTTCCATTTCACAGCTATTGTGCTGTGTCCCTGTCACTGGCCATGATCATATGGGAAGTATACATCAAAGCAAATAATGTTATAAATTTTTTTTAGGATTGCTGAATACATTTGACAGTACTATGATTTAGAAAGTACAGCCTAAGGTCATTTTTTTCCATTTGGATCTCCACATCTTTGAGAATTTTCTTTTTTAGCTATGATGGACATTAAACCAAGTAACCCAAATTTAGAAGACAGACTTTTTTTTTTTTTTTTTTAAGAGGTTTTTGCTATAGGGCGTGTGCGCTTACCAGAAAGACAGAGACAGAGAGATAGAAAGCAAGAAATTACCCCCCAGGGGGTATGGCCACGCTGCAATTCCTTCTCCTCCAATCTCTTCTCAGGATCTTGGGCATGCACACACACGCGCCTGGTGTGAGTTTAAGCCACCAGGTCCAGGACTCAAACCGCGGTCAGCTACATGGGAGTTCAGTGATATAGCCATTGCACTAACTGCTGGTCCCAGAAGACAGACCTTTAAATAGCTGAATACAGTTTTATATTTTTTTAAGTTGAACTTATTTATTTACATTGCTCTCAATAAGCCAGAGCAAAAGAGTTTTTATACTATTCATAAATATTTTGAATGCTATATATTTTATTTTCACCTAATACTTTAAACTTTTTATTACTGTGTACTTTGTCATTAAATGCTACTTAGTGTAATAGCACATATTTGTGACTTATAAATAAGTAATATTGGGAATTCACAATCAGAAGTGGGTTTTTGTTTGTTTGTTTGTTTGTTTGTTTTTGAGAGGTTTTTACTATAGGGCCCTTGTGCTTGCTAGAAAGACAGAGGGAGACAGAGAGACAGAAAGCAAGAAATTACCCCCCAGGGGGTATGGCCACACTGCAATTCCTTCTCCTCCAGTCTCTTCTCGGGATCTTGGGCATGCACACACACGCGCCTGGTATGAGTTTAAGCCACCAGGTCCAGGACTCAAACCGCAGTCAACTACATGGGAGTCCAACAACATAGCCATTATGCCAACTGTTGGTCCCCAGAATTTTAAGTTGAAATAATTATCATATTGAAGTCAATTAAGCAAATAAAGCTTCTCTGTTTTGTTTAAAGATTCAAGGAATCTTCCTGAATTATCTTCGAATTCATCTTTAGGAGTAAGAAAATGAGTATAAATTGAGATTTCATAAGTTTTAAATCCAAGTTAGTCACCTTTAATTGGTTTATACTCCTTCTCTCCTTCCCTCCCTCTCCATCTGGTAAAATTTTTAAAAATAAATATTACTAATAAAATTAAATTAGTAGTTCCTTTTCTTTAAAAAAATTGCATGCATGCCTCAAATTCCAAAAGGATATAGAAATGGAGAAAGGATTGTGGCCTGACCTCACCCCACTGAGGGGCGCTTTCTTCCTCTCTGTGTGTCTCTGGTGAGCACACATGCCCTCTGGCAAAAAAAAAATAAATAAATAAAGGAAATTAAAGATGTTTATTACAAGGGCATTTTTAAAATTTATTTATTTATTGAATGCCATTTGTCATTATTTTTTAATTTGACCAGACAGAGACAGATAGAGAAAGGGAAAGCGAGAAGGCAAGCCATCAAGTCCAGGACTCGAACCATAGTCAGCCATGTGGGAGTCCAGTGCCTTTATCCACCACGCCACCTGCCAGCCCCACAAGGGCATTTTTTTAAAGAGAGATTTTTTTTCCTATAGGGCATGTGTGCTTGCCAGAGAAACAGAGACACAAAGTGAGAAATCATCCCCCGGGGGTATGGCCCTACCACAATCACTTCTCCATTCTCCTCTTGGGATTTTGGGCATGCATGCACATGTGCCCAGTGTGCGTGTCAAGCTGCTGGATCTGGGACTTGAACTGCTGTTGACTACATGGGAAAAGGGTAAAATTTGCAGATGGGAGGCATTGATGAGATAGGAGAATTACTGACATAGATGAGCTAGAAGGATAGGAGGGCTAGTCGAGTGTTGGGATGCTTAAAATTAAGATTTTGGAGGGGGGAGTGGAACAGCAGGTGGCGTGGTGGTTAAGGCGCTGGACACTCCCACATGTCCATTCATGGTTCGAGTTCTGGACCTGGTGGCTTGCTTTCTCATTCCCCTCTTGCTCCTCTCTCTCTCACTCTGTGTGTGTGTGTGTGTGATCAAATTAAAATAAATGAATGAATAAATAAAGTTAAATAAATAATAAAAAAAGATTTTGGGGAGTCAGCAGGCGGCGTGGTGGTTAAAGCGCTGGATCTTGTATGGCCAACCCTGTGGCTTAGAGTCCCAGATGCAGTAGCCTGAAAATCACACTGAGTGTGTGTGTGTGTGTGTATGTGCCCAAAATCCTGAGAGGAGAATGGAGGAGAAGGGACTGTGGTGTAGCCATCCCCCCAGGGGGGGGAATTTCTTGCTTTTCCTCTCTTTTTCTCTCTCTGACTCTCTGGCAAGTGCCATACCAAAAAGATCTTAAAAAAAAAAAAAAAAGATTTTTGGAATGATGCATTTATTGGTACTACCAGGGTATAACCATATAATGGGAATCTAGAATGGTTTGTTGGGCATGATGGTAGTGAGGGGGGGGGGTCAAAAACATGAAGGGCCACAGTGTTAGAGTCTTCCGTGTGATCACTGATGTTAGGAAGAACAGCTTAGGAATAAAATGGAAGATACCAAAGTTCCAAAGTCTTCAGTTGAAGAGTGAGGACATTGAAGGTCAACAAATGATATGAACAAGGTAGGACCGTAAATGACAAAGTCTGATGGCAAGAAATTAAAATGTCTTTAGGTTTTTGAAGGAAGAGAGAGGAGAAGCAGCTTAGGAGAAGCAAGGAGAAATTGTCTCCACTTCCAGGAAATGTAGAAGAAAAGCAGCAATCTCCAAATGAGAAGCCTTCAGGTAATAGCAAAGTTTCAGGCAAGAACAGAAAGAAGGAATTTTTCAAGGTCAAGACTGAGGAGGACAAGATTTTTCACCCAGTGAAAATTAGCCATCATTAGCATTATCATTGTCATTACCATTTTTAATATTAGATTTATGATTAAGCTATTGTATTATACTATTCTTATTTCTAGAAACCTTAGACTATTGGCATATCATTTGTTTTTTATTAATTTTCTGTAAAAATTTAAATATCAGGTCTGTAACAGATATCAAAATATTCATTTTCCTATCATACATGTTAGAAAATCAGGTTTAATTTTGTTTATGGAATGACTACCATATGTCAGGCTCTTACTGCTAGAAATGAAAAGATATGTGATACCTCTTTTCAAAGAGTGTTGATTAGTGAACTCATGGGAATATAACTTGTACATGTGCTAAAGGATTTTATGCACACACACACCTCCCACACTATTAACAGTAATCATCGCTGATACAGTGAAAGGAATGGAAGGGTGAGATATTAAAGGGAACTTTCTATTTTTAGCCTTTAAAAATGTTTTATTAGAATATATTTATATAGTTTGCTAATAAGTAGTAAGAAAGAATTTATGGAAGTTATATTTTTTCTGTGATAATTAGAAGGAGAAATTGTGTTTTTAAAGTCTTTTGGGGCTGGCAGGTGACATGGTGGGTAAGGGTGCTGGACTCCCACGTGGCCGACCATGGTTTGAGTCCTATACCTGGTGGCTTGCCTTCTCACTCACTCTCTTTCTCTCTGTCCCTCTCTGGTCAAATTAAAATAAATACAATTAGGGGACTGGCAGATGGTGTGGTGGTTAAGGCGCTGGACACTCCCACATGGCCCACCATGGTTTGAGTCCCGGACATGGTGGCTTGCTTTCTCACTTTCCTCTCTCTCTCTTTCTGCGTCTCTCTCTGGTTAAATTAAAATAAATGAATGAATAAATAAAATTGAATAAAAATAATTCTTTAAAAAATAAATTAATTAAATTAAATTAAATAATTCTTTAAAAAATAAATTAAAAATAAAGTGTTTGTCTGTTTCTTCTAGGCAGGGATACCAATGGGACCAATGCCAGCAGCGGGGATGTCTTACCTGGGACAAGCACCGTTCCTGGGCATGCGTCCTCCAGGCCCACAGTATGCTCCAGACATACAGAAGCAATTTGCTGAAGAGCAGCAGTAAGAGACCTACAGAATTCTAGGACAAAGATACATAGTAGCAACTGTTTGGAACATTATCATACTTTCTCTAGTGCAGATCTGATAACTGTAGAGTTATATTGCCTTTAAACTCATTAAAAATACTTTTATGATAAATTTAGAACCTAAAGAGACCTTAGAGATTGTCTAATTCAGCTCTCTTGTTTCATAGTTAGGGAAAGTGAGGTTCATACAAATGAAATGATTCCTCAATCCAGGTTACATGGTTGCCAACAAAGGCTGGACCCAAGTGTAGACTTCCTGACTCCCAGAGTTTACTCGCTCTCTCCTGCGACACTGCCTTTCCAAGGAAATTTCTTTTTTGTGTACAGACCAAAGAGCGTTGTCTTGTTTGAGGTGTTTGAGTATGGGGAAAGTTGTTTTTCTCCTTACAAGTTAGGTTAGAAACAATTTCATATACATCATTAAGTAAATCATTTTTTAGACTCACTTCAGGGGTTTTAGAGTTAATATAGCAAGGAAACAAGGTTGTCATAAGGAATTTAGATATATTTAGCAGTGAAGTTCACAGTTCTAGAAATGTAAATGGTACTGTAATGATTAGGAATCTGAGTATAACAGCTAAATCCCTGAAGCTGGATCTTTATAAGGTTATTTTTCCGTTAGAAAACGATTTGAGCAACAGCAAAAACTCTTAGAAGAAGAAAGAAAAAGACGCCAGTTTGAAGAGCAGAAGCAAAAACTCAGACTTCTGAGTAGTGTGAAACCCAAGGTAATATATTCACCCCCTGTCCCCACCTAAAGTATATTCCATTGCCTCCTCTCACTCATTCATTAGATTTTGTCACTGAGGCACTAGGCCAGGGCGAGGATGTGATTGATTCTTTCCATTTTGGTTTATCAAAGACCTAAACTGAAGGATTCTTTTTCTGTGAGATAGTCGTTGTTGATGGGAGTAGGATGTCAACCATTATCTTCTCAACTCTTTTTGCAACCATAGCAATGTTTGTCATCTTTTTCTTGGGAAGCATTATTCCTAAATTTAGTGATAAAAAGTAGGTTTCTCTTAGGACCCTCATAGAACACTCAGTATCTAACAACTTCATCTTAAAGTATTCAGGGTGGAGTGGTTTATAAACGGGCTTCTCGGTATTTTTATATGCATGGAACTGTCAGGTTGTGCCTTTGTTTCGTGCTCGTATTAATGTCTTTCTGACTTAGAAAATTTATTATCAGAAGTATGTGGTAAAAATATTGGAAATAGACTAATACCTGTGTTTTTCTTTTAATTTGGGAGGGTTTAGAACAAAGTAAGAAGTGAGTAAAGAAATATACACATAATCATTGTCTTTTAGACAGGAGAGAAGAGTAGAGATGATGCTTTGGAAGCCATAAAAGGAAACTTAGATGGGTTTTCCAGAGACGCTAAGATGCACCCTACTCCAGCATCACACCCCAAGAAACCAGGTAGTTTGAATCATAGGAGGTGTTAAAATTTACTTAGAAGGTAATTTATGGTACCTGTGTGTATAATTCATCATTATGTGTATATGAAGAGTCAGTGTTGAATTCTTCCTTCAAGCTAAGTACAGATTTGGATGTTTTACTGTTTACTGGTTTAAGAGCTCTGGTCTGCTTAACGGCTTATTTAGGGGGGAAAAAAACAACTTTTGTTTTCTAGATAAGCATCAGTATGACCTTGCTTTTAAATCCTCTTTATATAAATATGTTAATATTAGTGAAATATGTTTATTCAAAGTAAATATAATAAAGGTGTTTACCATTTGATTCTTACTGTTTTAAAATATTTTTATTTTTTATAAGCTGATTTAGATTTTTTTAGTCAGTGATTATTAAACTTACAAATTCTTTATTTTAATTTGACTAGAGAGAGACACAGGGAGAGAGTGAAAGGAAGAAAGCAAGCCATCAGGTCTGGGACTTGAACCATGGTCAGCCATGTGGGAGTCCAGCGCCCTTAGCCACCACACCACCTGCTGGTTCTATAAACTTACAAATTTATAAAATCCTCTTTTTTTTTTTTTTAAGTCATGGGTTGAATAATGCCCCTCATGAAATTTTTCAGTTTCTTTTTTAAAAATTTTCTATCGGGGGACCAGTGAATGGCATAATGGTTATATTGCTGGACTCTCACAGTCAACCGGGGTTCAAGTCCCAGACTCGGCAGCTTGAAACTCACGTCAGGGACATGTGCATGCATGCCCAAAATCCTGAGAGGAGAATGGAGAAGGGATTGTAGTGTGGCCATCCCCTCTGGGTAATGATTTCTGATTTTCTGTCTGTCTCTCCACTGAGCACTTGTGCCCTATAGAAAAAAAATCTCTTAAATTTTTTTTTTTTTTCCATAGGGTGTGTGTGCTTGTAAGAGAGAGAGAAAGTACTCCTCAGGGGGCATTGACCACACTGCTGTCCCGTCTCCATTCTCCTTTTGTGATTTGGGGCACAGGCATGCACGCACCCCCCACATGGTTTTCAAGCTGCTGGATCCAGCACTCAAACCACATAATCAGCCATGTGAGATCTAGCTACCTTAAACGTCACACCACCAACAGGTCCAATAAGTTGGTGTTTTGATAGTTGTCAAATCCTGTGACTTTATTTTGTTTTTAAAGAATTACTTATTTAATTTTATTCATTCATTCATTCATTTTAATTTCACCAGAGAAAGAGAGAGAGAAATAGAAAGAAAGGGAGAAAGAAAGCAAGCCACCAGGTCTGGGACTTGAACCATGGGAGTGTCCAGCGCCTTAACCACCACACCACCTGCTGTCCCCTCAAATCCTGTGACTTTGATCAACATGTATGAAATTAGTAATTTCTATTGAGTTGTTGAAAAAGTTATGACATATTTTTTGTTTTTCTATGCAGTAGTGTGTCATGACTTTTCTGATAACCTAATAGTAAACACTTCATGCTAAGTGAGAAAAAGATTATTCTGAAGCAAGCCTAGAGAGATTCCAGAGATCCTCTTCAGTTAGGATCATAAACCTAGACCTAAAGTATGAGAGGACTTCAGAAAGTTTGTGGAAAATGGACATTAAAGTGCATGCAGGTTTACTTTAGTGCAATTTTTTTTTTTTTGAGAGATTTTAGCTATAGGGCATGTGCACGCCCCAGAAAGACAGAAACAGAAAGACAGAAAGCAAGAAATCACTCCCCAGAGGGGATGGCCACACCACAATCCCTTCTCCTTTCTCCTCTTGGAATCTTGGGCACACGAGCACACACACTCGGTGTGAGTTTAAGCCACCAGGTCTGGGACTCAAATAGCGGTCGACTACATGGGATTCCAGTGACATAGGCATTCTGCCAACTGCTGGTCCTGGTGCAAAATATTTTGAAATTCATACATAGTGTTTTCTTTCTTTTCTTTTTTTAGAATCATTTATTTTACTTATTTGTTTTATTTTGACCAGAGAGAAACAGAGAGAGAGAAAGAGAAAGTGAAAGTAAGAATACAAGACACTAGGTCTGAACTTGAACAGTGATCAGCCATGTGGGAGTCTAGCCCTTTAACCACCATACCACCTGCCAGCCTCCGTAGAGTTTTCATAATACATATTTTTCATGAACTTTTTGAAAATCCCACATATATAAAAATAACTTACAGCTTTTTTTTTTTTTTGCCATCAAAGGCATTTTTAAGTTTTCCCTTATAAACTGTTAATCTTAAAATATTTAATATACAGGGACCAACAGGTACTATGATGGTTAAGGTGCTGTTCTCTCACATGGCCCACTGTGGTTCAAGTGTCAGACCTTCTGGTTTGCTTCCTCCCTTTTTCTCTCTGTCTCTCGCTGGTGAGCACATGTGCCCTATAGTAAATTTTAAAATAATAATGATAAAGAAAATTATAAATTGAATATACAAATTATATCATATAGTTTTTATTCTTATTTATTATATGTGTAGCTTCAGGTGTTTCTGAACCAAAATATATATCACATGGAATTATAGTCCCAGCCAAATAAATGTAAAGAAGCATTGGTTTACCTTTGCAGCATATTGCTAGTAAATAGGGTCCATTAAAAAAAAAATTCAAAGGATGAAAACCTAGATGCAAACTCTTTGTAACTATTTTTAAGAGCTTGAAATTTAATATGGCATGGCTTTTTCTTTTCTTTTTAATTTACCATAAGGCCCATGCACTTGCAGGAGAGAGAAAAAGTGAAAAAGCACCCCTGGGAGGGTGACCATGCCACAGTCCCTTCTCTGTTCTCCTCTGGAAACTTTGGATACACACACACACACACACACACACACACACATACACATGCACTGTGTATTTTTCAAGCCACTGGGTCCAGGACTTAAACCACGCAGTTGACCATTTGGGATCCAACCACCTTAACCACCACACCACCTGGCTAGCCTGTGGCTTTCTCTTGTTTAAGCAAAATAATTAAAGCAGTAATTTTGCATATTCATTTTGTATTTTTCATAGAATGTTTAGTGCTTCCAGATTCTATGTCATTGATTCTAAAGAGACATAATAAGCATGTAGTATCCCCATTTTTTCTTTTCCATTTCTTCTTAATTGACACATAATGATTGCACATATTTATGGAGTACTGTGATTTTTCAGTACATCAATACATTGCGTAATGAACAGATCCAGGTAATTAGTGTATTCATCATTTCAAACATCATTACTTTGTTTCAGGAGCATTCAAAATCCTCTCTTTTAGCTCTTCAGAAGTATACTGTTATTGTTAACTGTACTAATCTTTTTATACCATAGAACACTAGAACTTACTCCTCTTCTAACTGTAATTTTGAATCCATTAGCCAATAGCTCTATTAACCAGAGTATAGTAAATGTAGTGTCCCCATTTAATAAAAAAAGACAGCTCTTGTGACATTAGACTTTAGTAACTGTTAAAGGAATTCAGAGGCATTAAAAATATGAAGAAGTAACAATAGTTTATTGGACCTGCTCCATGGCATCATGGTAATGTGCTGATCAGGAGAAGCTTGATCCCACACAGGGGCCATGGTTCCAATCCCTGGCGCATGTACAGGTACCCAAGATCACATGGGCTGGAGGACTGGGAGGAGGGGATCATACATGACCAGACTCTGTGAAGGGTACTCATCTCCCCCTCTCTCACATGCATGTGCTCTGTCACGAATAAAGAAAAGTAGATATTTCTAAATAGTATTACCGATGAGCTTCGTATTAAATGTAGCCTGTATAGAGCAGGTTTATTACATAAGTGAATCTCACATTTTTTTTTTTTTTTTGTAAAGAGATTTTTACTGTGAGGCATGTGCACTCTCCAGAGAGACAGAAAGTGAGAAATCACCCCTCAGGGGATGGCCACATCACAGTCCTGTCTCTTCCATTCTCCTCTCAGGATTCTGGGCACACACACACACATGTACGCGGCTTGAGCTTCAAGCCACTGGGTCCAGGATTTGAACCACTGTTGACCACGTGGGAGTCCAGTGACGTAACCATTATGCCATCTGCTGGCCCCAGCAAATCTCACATTTAACAATAAAAAGCCACAGTGATTTTTATGTCATTTATTGGCAAAGATCTTTTTTTTGGGGGGGGGGGGGGAGATTTTTGCTATAGGGTGCATGCACTCGCCAGACAGATAGAGACAGAGAGAAAGTGAGGAATCACCCTGCAGGGGGAATGGCCACACCGCAATCTCTTCTCCTCCATTCGCCTCTCGGGATCTCAGGCACGCACACACACGCGCCCAGTGTAAGTTTAAGCCACCGGGTCCAGGACTTGAACCGCGGTCGACTACATAGGAGTCCAGCAACATAGCCATTACACTAACTGCTAGTCCCCCAAAAATCTTTTAAACACAGTCCTTAGTCAAGGTTTACTTTCTTAAATTGACTGTTGAACTTCATTAGCACTTTACGGTGTCCCAGTTTTGATACTCTTCATAAGAAAATATCACCTTGATAATGTGTTTAATGTCCTTTTGTTTTTCATTTCTCATGTGGTAACTTAATTGAAATATGATCTATGTAAAGCTTGTGGATCAGCGTTATATATCAGAAATGATAAATTTGTGTTAAATAACAAAATCTGATTACCAAAGTGTATTGTCTGTCCAAAATGTATTTAGCAGCATGTGGTAAGCTTTTATATATATCAATATATTGACATATGTTTGTTTGACAGAATATTATCCAGATAAACAGATAATTTTTGGCTTTCAGAAATTATCACACTTTTTAAAAGAATTATTTATTTTATTTAATTTATTATTAGTAGTATTTTAATTTGACCAGAGAGAGAGAGAGAAAGTAGAAAAGCAAGTCACCAGCTCTGAGCCTTGAACTACAGTTGGCCAGGAGGTAGTACCGAGCCTCAACCACCATGCCACTGACTGGCCCCAAATATCGCCATTTTGATGTAAATTACTAGTGTTCTCAGGGAAAAAATTAACATTAGCCTGATAAAAGAAAAAAACAAATTGGGAATTTTATATTTTTCTGTTTTTGAACCAAATAGAAAATAACAATACAAACCTCCTTTAAAAAGACATGAAATTGTGGGAACCAGCAGTTAGCGTAATGGCTATGTCGCTGGATTCCCATGTAGTCGACCGCGGTTCGCGTCCCGGACCCAGTGGCTTAAAACTCACGCCGGGCGCGTGTGCGTGCATGCCCAAGATCCCGAGAGGAGAAGGAATTGCAGCGTGACCATCCCCCCTGGGGGGTGATTTCTCGCTGTTTCTCTGTCTCTGTCTGTCTGGTGAGCGCATGCGCCCTGTAGCGAAAATCTCTCCAAAAAAAGTAAAAAAAAAAGACATGAAATTGTGTAAATAGATACCAAGGTAGGTGTGTTTTGCATGCATTGTGCAATCCATCGGACTATTGTTACTTGTTATTTCTTATTTACTTCCACTCTTCATGTTTCAGTGTATTCTTTTGGAATTGTACTACATCTTAATTTCTTTTTCCCTGTTGATTTTCAGTTCTGTGTGTTTCATTGCCATTTTCCATTTTACAGATTGTCCCACATCATCTCATTCTACTAAAACTGTCTCCCCATCACCTGCCTTTCTTGACGAAGAAGAATTCAGTGACTTTATGCAGGGGCCTGTTGAAGTTCCCACATGTGGGCCTTCTTCCATGTCCCAGCCCTTTCAGTCTTTACATCCCACCACCCCACTTGGCCAGTTGCATATACAGAAGGCTGGGGCCCAGCCTCTCCCTCCAGGTCAGATTCCAGTGTCTTTTGCCTTACATGGTGTCCCTGGGCAAATTCCTTATTCCTCTACTGCTTCAGCCTCACACAGTGTACAAAAAGCAGGTAACTCCTAGTACTATTAATGAAAATGTTCTTAATATACTCTAGAATAAGTTATTTCTATTATATAAGTAGAATAATATAGTGACATTGTCAAAGAAATGTGTACATGAATGTAAGAGTACTATTGAAATGTACCAAAATAAGAGCCTAAATTTTTTTTTTTTTACTTGCTAGATTAGAGGGTACATGTGCTTGCTGAAGAGAGACAGAGAAAGTGATAGCCAAACTGCTGTCCCTTCTCTGCCATTTCTGCTTTCCAGATTTTGGGCACACATACACACAAATATATGCCTGGCATGTTTTTCATGCCACCGGTCCAGGACTCAACTGTGCATTTAGCCATGTGGAATCCAGCCACCCTATCATGCTACTTGCTGGCCCAAGATTATTTTTAAGAATGATTTATTTTAATTTATTATTATTACTTTTAGTTTGCTGTAGGATATGTGTGCTCATGAGAGAGAGAGAGAGAAAAGGAGAGAGAGAAAAAAGTGGAAAAACAAGCCATCCAGTCAAGGACTCAAAGCCAGTCAGCCATTAGGAGTCTAGTGCCTTAACTGCCATGCCACTTGCTGGCTCCAAGAGTCTAAACGTTAACTTCTGAGGTCTTCATATTTTGCAAAAGTGAATTAAACCTTTAAGCTGCCTTAGAACTTTAAAAAAAACTGGTTTCTTAAAAAGATTATTCTTGTTTTATGGAAATCATAGACACTATTTTCTTAAGAATAATGAGCTAGGGAAAACTACTTTAGAAAGTGTTATTCTGGGCCAGCAGGTGGCGCAGAAGGTTAGGCATTGTATCCCACACGACCGACTCCTTGGTTGGAGTCTGGAAGTGGCAATTTGAAAATTATGCCAGGCACTCGTGTGTGTGTGTGTGTGTGTGTGTGTGTGTGTGTGTGTGTGTGTCTAAAATCTTGAAAGGAGAATGGAAGAGAAGGAACTGTGGGTGGCCATGCCCCTAGGTGGTGATTTCTCGCTTTCCTTCTCTCCTCCTTTTTCTCCCTCTCTGGCTAACACATGCAAAAAAACTTAAAAAAAAGAAAGTGCTTTTCCTGGGTCATTCTGTTATGGTATGGTGGTTAAGACAGCTGGATCTCGCATGGCTGACTGCACAGTTTGATCCTCGACCCAACAGCTTGAAAAACATGCCAGGTACATGTGCATGTGTCCAAAATCTCAAAAGAAGGAGAAATGGAGGAGAAGGGATCACTGTGTGGCCATCCCCTCTGAGAGATGCTTTCTTACTTTCCTTCCCTCTCCAACAAGTGCAAGCACTTGCTAGCAATATAAATAATTATGAAGTGTTTTTCCTGGTTCAGTGACAGCACTTGGGGGCATAAACTTTCCATGTGGTCCATTTCTGTCCGTTTGTCCTTAGATTAATATTCGAACATTTCTATATCTACGTTTTTATCATCTGTGAAATGAAATAACAGGGGCAGCTGCACAATCTATTATAAGGCATAGTAGAGTGTTGGGAGAGAGCTTGGTAGAATGTACTTAGTCCAAACCTCTTCACGTAACACATATGGAAACAGACCCAGAGATGATGTCACTGGCCTGAGGTCTTTCCAGTACTCAGTGACCTATATGTCTCATATAGGTCATCAGATTTCTAAGGTAGTGTTCTTCCACGACATTAGTCTTTTTACTCTCTCATAGAATTTTTGAGACTCTCAATAGATATGAGTATATAAGTTGTCTAACATTTCTAAGTCTCTCAAGTCCTGTACAAATGTATGGTGATCGGTGTATTTAAAATTTTACGTTATATGTGGCAGTGCCTTCCCTTTGGAATATGGGGGTGGCAGTGGATGATTGAAAAGATTAGAAGTGTACAGTTACATACAAATAATCCTTCATGCTGTTTGTTTAGGCCCTTCCTTGGATGAGAAGCTCCTAGTATCTTGTGATATAAATACATCTGGGCAGGAACAAATTAACTTAAATACTTCTGAAGTTGGGCGCAAAGCTCTAGGCCCAGGTTCCAGTAAGAACTATCCCAGTTTAACGGCCAATAACGGGGTTGCGGTAGATGGATGTGTAAGTGGTACCACCACTGCAGAGGCAGAAAAGACTTCAGACCAAAACCTGTCCATTGAAGAGAGTGGTGAGCCCATGAAGCATTCAGCAAAAATTTGTTTAACCAAATGTCGCTCCAGTGCTAACACCTTAAGCATTAATCTTAAAGTGAATCCTGCTTGATTTCGCTAATCCCGGTTTTGCTTAAAATATATTTAATGCGTATCTGTCTCCAATTAACCCCTAAGATTTTGCTCTGAATTCTTTCAGTACACTGTTACTCCTTTCAAGAAATGATTTTTAAATTTTCTTAATCAGAATCATTCCTGGTTTAAAACTTCCTTTCTTTTTATTTTATAAAAGCTTTCCTTTTTTTCCCTTTATCCTTTATGTTCCCATAAAGGTTGAAATTTTAAATATAACTGGAAAAGTCACCAATGAGAATATAGCTTCTCTTCCTTTGAAATAAATCACACGTACTGCTGCCAAAAAAATAAATAAATTTTATAAATTCAGCTACAGAGATGGATTCGAATATGGACAGCCTGGAAGGCAAACTTTTGGTGGATATTTTACAGGATAGAGAAGCTTCCAAAATCTTATACATAAGGCAGCAATATCATATTCAAAAATCAGAATTTGTAAAGATGTGTTATTAAAAGCTACAGGTAAAACTTAGGCAATTGTATTTTTCACATAGATAATTTAAAAACTGTCGTCTATCATGTTTTTTCCCTTTAATTCATAATCAGTGTGAAATGGCACAAGCCTCATATAAACTTCAGAATATGCATTTGGTACATTAATTTACTCATTAGGACATAGTTAATGTACAAGAGTTATTCAAAAAACCAGTGTTTTCATTGTATTGGTGACTTTTTGTTTTCCTTGGTATATCCAGCCAGTGCTTTTCTTTATAAAAAAACAACATGACTCTGTGATTTTCTCATGTACATGGCCCCTATGGACATCAGTGTTTCTTATCTTCTAGGCATGGGGGTATTTCCCTCGCAGGATCCCGTGCAGCCCAGAATGCCTCCTTGGATTTATAATGAGAGTTTGGTTCCAGGTAAATAAAACTTCATTGCCCAGGTTTCCCATCTGGATATTTTGCTTTAGGTATTGTAAATGTAACTGTAAATATTTACTGTTGTAGTGACAGAACATACAGAAGGAATTGTCACTTTTCTCTTTTTCTGAGAGAATACAGAAAATTAATGAATCTAGTGGTTCTTGTGACTGCCTTATTTAACCATATAAATGCAAGAGGAATATTTTGCTTCAAAATAGTCATTACCATATACTTTTATTTCTAAAAGCATTTTTATAGATTTATCATCCTTTAAAAGACATCCAATACTTATTTCAGAGTAAAATCAAGGATTTTACTAATATGTTTAATATCATTTTCTGAACTCTTAATGATTTTTTTGATATTGTTTTATGACTTACTCGTCATACGATAGTGTATGAAGTAAAAGACCAGGAGGTGTCTTTTTCTACATAGGAAGGTGATGTCTACTTTTTCTTTTATTTATGTTACTGCTACCGAGCCCAGAAATGCATTTTGTGATAGTACTCAGTTGGCATGAGGAGGTAGTCTAAGCCATGACTGATGTGCACTGAAAAGAGACTGTTCAAGTAGTAGCTGATTTTAACTTCTTTTACTTACTGTACTTTACTAACGCCTTGAAAACAAAAGGTGATTTTTATTAGACCAGTTTTCTGGGTTGGTCATAGGCCAAAGTTAAGAAGTTAATTTAAGCTAAAGTTAAGTGTAAGCCCTTCCTTTTTTCAAACACTTGTTCTGTGTCTTCAACAGTTTTGTAAGAAACTGTTAATGTCTATTTTGTATCATTATCACATAATCACAGATTGAAAGGCTAATTATTGTTGAAACATATGAGACTTCAGTTGTACATAAAAACAATAGATTTTCTTCTAGCTATAGTTAGACAGTTTGTGTTTTTTCCTCTTTCTCTCAATCTGCAAGCCAAATAAGTAAACAAAATCTAGGTAGTACGTTTTGTTTTATCCATATCCTGCCAGGTTGTGTTTCTTTGTCCCTCCTCCCTCCAAACATACACGTATGCATACTTTCTTAGTCAAATGTGTTTTTATGGCCAACCCACTCATCCATAACCCATGTTTATCCTAGATGCAAAATTTTTTTTTTTGAGAGGTTTTCCTATGGGGCGCATGCGCTCGCCAGACAGAGAGACAGAAAGCAAGAAATCACCCCCCAGGGGGGATGGCCACGTCACAATCCCTTCTCCTCCATTCTCCTCTCAGGATCTTGGGCCACGTCACAATCCCTTCTCCTCCATTCTCCTCTCAGGATCTTGGGCACGCACACACACACACACACACACACACGCACCCGGAGTGAGTTTAAACCACTGGGTCCAGGACTCAAACCACAATCGACTACATGGGAGTCCAGTGATGTAGCCATTACTCTATCTGCTGGTCCCTAGATGTGAAATTTTTGTTTTAAACATTTTTTTCTTATTTTTTCTCGTTTCTTCTTCACTAGCCCTACTCACACTCATTTTCAGTCCCTCTAACTAAGCTTGCCAGACTTAGCATATAAATACACAGAATGCCCATTAAGTTTGAATTTCATATAAACAGCAAATAATTGTCTAAGTACATCCCATGTTCTCCTTTCAAAGCTCGATGTTGCTGTGAAAAATTCACCAGCATGGGGACGGCAGGTGGCATGGTGGATAAGGGTGCTGGATTCCCACATGGCCGACCATGGTTTGAGTACCGGGTCTGGTGACTTACTTTCTCACTTTCTCTTTCTCTCTCTCTGTCTCTGTCTGGTTAAATTAAAAAAATAATAATAACAAATGGAATTAAATAATTCTTTTTTTCAAAAAGACTTAAAAAAAATTTACTAGCAGTCCCTCCCTTTTTTTTAAATGCCTTTTTTTTTTTTCAAATGCTTGTCCTCACCTTCACTGTACCAGGTCTTTACCTGAAGGCTGTATTTGCAAAGCACCTTCTCCAGTACTTTTCTCTCTCAGAGCCTCCTGTTTACTGTGCCAAGAGAAAGGAGGCATTGGTATAATTCTTGCTTCCCATTGCTATTTTTTTAACTGTTCCCACCATCATTGCTCTACAGCTTCTCTAAACCCCAAAGCATCTGCTTATCCCACCTCCATCTTACCATTTCAGTCTTCTGCTGAATTATAAGACTTTATCTTATGTCAGCTCTAAATCTTCATCTTCAGGGCCAACTTCCAACATCTCTTCTAAGTTCCAGATCCTCCCTATTGCCTACTGATTATTTCTACTTAAATATCTTTACAATTCAAAACCCTGATGTGACTTGAGTTCTTTTAAAGCAATTTAATTTAAGATTATTCTTGTATACCAACAATGACAACAAAATAAATCAGTTACTTATAACGTGTTTACATTTGTAATATGGTCTTTTCTTTAATAGATGCCTATAAGAAAATTTTAGAGACCACCATGACTCCAACTGGAATAGATACTGCTAAACTTTATCCCATTCTGATGTCATCTGGACTTCCCAGGGAAACTCTTGGACAGATATGGGCCTTAGCTAATCGAACTACCCCTGGCAAACTTACTAAAGAAGAACTCTATACTGTTCTCGCCATGATAGCAGTAACACAGGTAGGCAATATTTCTTAAGTTAGATCTAGTAACTTTTTCACAAATATTGAAAAGCTGTGAATCCTCTTTCACTACGACATTGCAGAATTCCTTGTATGTTAAGATGTATATCACTGTCCAGATACAGTGCTTCAAAAATGGACAGTTTATATGATTTACATACTACACCAAATTGTTCCTTTGTTTAAAGACCATTTAAATTATTCTCTGGCCTTGGTGTATTCCTTCTGGACTTGAAAGTTAGTAATAGGTAAGATTTCTGTCCTTTGAAGACTGTGTTTAAAATTCCTTAATTATACATAAAGTATTCTCGGTCTTATAACACATTTTATTATAAAATCATGTTGAATAATTTGATTATAGCAAATTCACTGCACTTGTCAGAGAGAAAATGTTGGCCATTTCTTTGCTATGTACAGGCATGTGCTATGTAACGATGTTTCAGTTGTTAAGATTCTAAGAGGCTATACTACATAACCCAGGTGTATAGTAGGCCGAGCTACCCAGGTTTGTGTGAGGACATGCTCATGTTTTCAGTGAAATTGCCTAACGACTCGTGTCTCAGAAGTGTGACTCGTGTCTCAGAAGTGTCGCCATCTTAAGTGATACTTTTGTATCAAATTCGTAAGTTTTGGAAGAGTCAGAGTGGAAACTCATGAAAGCTACAGATTTGATGTTTAGGTCACTTCTCTCTTTGCCAGATTTAGATTGTATGTAGTTTGTAGTCACCTAAAATTTTTCCATTTTCCTCCTGTTCTATATAGAGAGGCGTTCCTGCTATGAGTCCAGATACTTTAAACCAATTCCCTGCAGCTCCTATTCCAACTTTAAGTGGCTTTCCTATGACTCTGCCCACTCCAGTGAGTCAGCCAACTGTGATACCTTCAGGCCCTGCAGCTTCCATGCCCCTCAACCTCGGACAGCCAGTCATGGGCATTAACCTCGTTGGACCAGTGGGTGGTGCTGCAGCCCAGTCTTCCAGTGGCTTCATGCCAACTTACCCTGCAAATCAGGTAAATGGAGAAGCTACACATATTCCACATAATCCACGAGGGTGAGTCTGGGTTACATTTTTCCCAGGGCTAATTAGAAAAAATTGCTGGATTGCGATGGGCCCTTGAGGTTAAAATTAAACAGTATTAAAACATTATAAAATTCAGTTATTTTAAAAACATGAAAATATTTCTTAAGATGTTTTAATTTTAGCTGAAGATATATGGTTCTTTTTAGTATATACATTTTAAGAATTATCCTTACAAAGCTAATTAAATTCTTAGATTGTATCTTTTGAGGAGACTGTTTAATCCCAAATTAAAATAATTGTTTATTTTTTTACTTTTGAGAATAGGAAAATTTTTAAATGGATAATATTTAGTGTTATTGAAAATGTAGGAGAGAAGCAACAAATATAGGTTTATTGGTGCAATCTTTTGGGAAGGTAGATTTGCAGTAGCTGTCAAAATTCTACGTGTCTGGGTAGCCCTATATCTCAGTAGTTGAAGGATCAGTTCCCACGTGACCAACCATGGTTTGAATCCCAGCCCTGGTGGCTTATAGAACATGACAGGGATGCATGTTCATGCCCCAAATCCTTCCAGGATGGAGAAATGGAGGAAAAAGGATTGCTACATGACTGCACCCTATTGGGTGGTTCATTCTGGTGAGCACATATGCCCTCTGGCAAAAACGGGAAGGAGGCAGGCAGGCAGTCAGGCAGGCCAGAAGGAAGGAAGCTTTCAAAGGAAGGAAATATTCTACATGTCTTTTTTTTTTTTTTAGAAGGAAAGGGAGAAGGAAGGGAGGAAGGATTCTATCAGTCCATTTCTATTACATCTTTTTTTTTTTTCACCCAAAGTTTATGCATTTTTTTTTCCATTGGAGAGAGAGCTAGGTACCCCCTACAGGGTTGTCATGCCCCAGTCCACCCCAGGTCTCAGCCAGCCCAGAACACAGGCATGTACACGACCTGTACTTCCAGGGAGAGCCTAAGATGTGAATCCAGGACCTTTCCCATGTGTCCAGTTGTGCTGCCACTGCACCAGGTCACTGCATGTCTGTATCTTCTAACTTAGCAGTCACACTACTGGAAATCTATCCCACAGAAATAGAAACTCAAATTAGCAAAGATATACAAGGATATTTGTTATACTATTGTTTGTTAGCATGAAATACTAGAAGTAACTAAATGTCTCTCAGAGGGAAAAAAACTAAATGAATTTAGTTCTTCCATAGCAGTGGTAAACTAATCACTGAACTGAGTGAGATAGATCTACATTTACTGCATGAAAAGATGTCCATTAGATATAATTTAAAATTCTTTTAAGTTATAGAGCAATATGGTATAAGCTTATTTTTCTATAAAACAAATGAACTGTTAGCAGTATTTATCTCTGGAGTGTGGGATTTGGAGCCAGTGTTCACCTTGTATGTTCTTTATATGTGTATGTGACTGATTATGATGAGTTTGTGTCATTTTTGTAATTTCCAGGCACATACAAGTTGTTGTTTAAAGATGGCAGGGACTCGGTAACCCAATAAGTATAATTCAGCAATTTAAAATATATATATAGCTCTTTAAACCAGTTTTTTTTTTCCAGTTCGTACCAGAAAGAATCTAAAAATACAAAACAGGGTTCCATCTAAAAATACAAAACACCCAATAGGGTGTTGTCATGTAGCAATCCTTTTTCCTTAAGTTAAATTGATGTTATAAATAAAGGGTGTTACTCTAAATTAGAAGTTGTACCTACGTTGAGAAATGTAAAAGGCAGTTGTTGAGGTAGACAGTTGGAGATACATGGTGTACTTATTTTACTAATTTATTATAATTGATTATTGAAATACCTTCTGTAAACCTAGGTGGGAAAGCCCGAAGAAGATGACTTCCAAGATTTTCAGGATGCTACTAAGTCAGGATCCCTTGATGACTCATTCACTGATTTCCAGGAGTTGCCTGCTTCTTCAAAAACAAATCCCCAGCATGGAAACAGGTAGAACAAGAGTTGAAGATACGTAGCATTTTGTTTAATCATTAAGAGCAAGGCATCCACAATGAAAGCCCTGAGAAATTAGGCCTCTTTATTCCGTACTTCCCTTGATTTTTCCTCTTTGTTCATCCTTTCACTCTCCAAAGTCCTCTCCTGTTTGTCCACCTTAAACTTCAGTTCCTACCATTTCCTCCCAGTACACATCTGCTTGCCAATTTTTTTTTTTTTTTTTTTTGCCTACACTAAATCCATTTCTTATAGCTGAGTGCACCTGTGCAGTAATGACCTCATGTTTTTGTAGTAGATCTAGGTCTTCAACTGTTAAGAAGCTTTTTAGGAAGGGTCATGTGGTTTTACATTTTCATGATATAACATACTGTTGATTTTCCACAGAAATCATAATTTGGAACTCTAAATATAATTATGTTTGTGTTTTTCTTACATTTAACACTAGTGGCTTTTAGGCCTTCAGATTGATAATTGTTTGCAGAGATAGTTACATGGACTTTTTCTCTGTGTTTTATGTACTAGCTCAACCTGTAGATGCAGTGTGTACTGTCAACACCTTTGCATCTCTCTCTCTCTTTTTAAGTATTGAGATACTCCTTCTACAGAGTGGAATACGTTAGGCTTTGAGTAAGCTATATCAATTTACTTGTTTTTATTTTGGAATCTCTTTTTGTCAGAATGCATACTCCATTTCTCCTATGTTTCTGTTTATGCAATTTCCCTCATCTCTCTGTTTTTTTGTTTTGCTTTGTTTTGTTTTTTAATTTTGCTATAGGACATGTGCACACACCAGAGACAAGGGGCAGAGGGTGTGAGAAAGCATCGTTTAGATGAATGTTCATGCTGCAGTCCCTTCTCTTCTCAGAATTTTGGGCACATACACAGATGTTCCTAGTGTGTTTTTCAACCACTGGGACTCATCTACACAGTTGGCCACGTAGGATCCAGCCATCTTAACTACCATGCCACCAGCTGGCTCAATTTCCCTGGTCTCTTAATTAACGATTTCTTGCATATACACTTTGAATTAAAAAAAAGGAAAGAGATTATCCTGATTTTAAGAAAACATCAAACACTGTGACCAGCAGGTGATATAACCACTACATTGCTGGACTCCCATGTAGTTGACCACGGTTCGAGTCTCGGACAAAGTGACTTAAACTCACGCAGGCCACATGTGTGTGCGTGCCCAAGATCCCGAGAGGAGAATGGAGAAGGGATTGTGGTGTGGCCATCCCCCATGGGGGGTAATTTCTCGCTTTCTGTCTGTCTTTCTGGCAAGCGCACACACCCTATAGCAAAAACCTCTCCAACAAAAAGAACACATCAAACACATGTTAGTACCGTACAGAAGAAACATAAGGAATGTGACCGTAGAGTTCTGGATTTTCCAAGGCTGCTGCATCAGCACATGTATTAAGGTTCTTGATGCATAGTCATCTCTTCCTTTGAACAATATTTATATGCACTGCTGTTATCTGAACATTCCTATCTGAATGCTCCAAGGTATCCTTAATTCACTGCATAAAATTAAATTCATTGTTTCCTACTTAGAGCCAAATAAAAATGTATTAAATTTTAGTTCCCCTCTTTGGTGAACGGTATCACTATATCAAGTCACTAAACTAGAAATAGGTTATTTATTCTTGGCTCCATCCTCTCTTCTTTGACACTGTCAACTCTCTCAACTCTACTTAGTATGGAAAAAGCTCTGTGGCTGGCCTCATAACGTTGTGGTTAAGGGAGGTGGTTCCCACATGGCCAATTTGTTTGCATCCTGGCCCCAGTAGCTTGAAAAACATGGTAAGCACATGTGTGCATGTGTCCAAAATCCTGACCGGATACAAAAACGGAGGAAAAGGAATTATGGTCTGAACACACCTCACTAGGGTGTGCTTTCTCTCTCTGTCTTTCACCGATGAGCCCACCATGTGCCCTCTGGCATTAAATAAAGAAAGCGGGATCAGCAGATGGCATAATGGTTACGTTTCTGGACTCCCATGCAGTCAACTGTGGTTTGAGTCCTGGACCTGGCAGCTTGAAACTGCATGCCCAAAATCCCAGGAGGAGAATGGAAGAGGAGTGATTGCAGCCTGGCCATTCCCCCAGGGAGTGATTTATTGCTTTCTGTCTCTCTGTCTCTCTGACCAGTGCATGCACCCTATAGCAAAAATCTCTCTACAAAAAAAAGAAAGAAAAGTTGCGTGCTCTTGTTTATTCTCTTGACCCTTAGCCTTTTTCCACTGTTTATACTTTAGCCATTCCAAAATGATGGCAGACTATAATCTTGCTCTTTCAAGTTCTAGCCTTTGTATATTTTGTTTCATTCAGTCTGAGATACCCTTACCTGTTCTCTCTATAGTTAATTCTAGTTCCATTTCAAAAATCAGCTAAATATAGGTGTTTCTTAATCCCTTTCCAGCAAGCCCCCCTGCAATAGGAGTTAAAGGCCTTCTGTATCTTTCTTTTTAGTATTGCCAGAGAGCATATGCACTTTAGAGACAGAGGAGAAGAAAGAGACACACACAGGGAAAGCACCCCCCTAAATGGGGTGTTAAGGCGCGCACGCGCACACACACACAGGCCTGGTGTAATTTTCAAACTATTGGGGCCAGGGTACCTTATGTATATCTATGATATAATTATAATTACTGGTTTACTTGACTTTTCTCACACTGGGAAAAAGTTTATATATGTAGCAGTTACCCCATGATATATAATTAGCAAAAGTTTATTGGTTGACTATATTATTGAATGTGGATTATAAGCTGAATTTGTCAAATTGATAGTTCGCTTCTCTGGGAAAAAACTTTCAGTAGATGAAATTAAAGTTTGGGAGTAGTAGGGTTATCCAGTGGCACAGGGGAACGATGCAAAGCTTTATGAGACCATCCCACATGTATAGATTTTGGGTTCACGTCTGGAGGCCTCCCTGAGCACGCTAGCAGGTATATGTGTGCCCATGGTCCAAGGCTAACCCAGGCTGGGGTAGACTGCATCATCAGGACCCTGTTAGGGGTGATGTCTTCCCATCTGTGTTTGTCTGTCTCTCTTTCTCACTCCTAGAAGAAATGAGAGAAAAAAAAAAAAAAAAGGAGGTGTAGAAAGTTTTGAGACGGTAACCAAACCTGAGATATATGGGTATTACAATTTCCTGTAGCATTATCTCCACGTAACAGTTAACTTTGATTTGCAACCATACTTTGGAGATGTTCTTCTTTGAATTCTGACTTGACAACTTCCATGTTTTTGTTGAGTAAAAACTTTCTGCTTGTATCTAAGACTCCATACTCATTATTTGTTTATGCATTCACCAGATATTTATTTGGCATCTTCTATATGCCAGACACTAGGGTAGGCACCAGAAATGCAGAGGCAAAAACCACAGTTCCTGCTCTAAAGAAGCTTAGTGTTATCTCTGTACTTTGTCAGTAGAGCTCGGTTATGATTGGTCCTTAAATGTACATATTTAATGAATTCCCTAGTTTATGATACTCTGTGGTCTGTGTTGTGAGTTTATTTTGAAAGGAGATTTGCTAAATAAGGATATGAATAGCTAAGCCTAGGTGTACCGCTCTGGGTGGTATTTTTAAGCAGAAAATGGGCATTATTTGTCAGAGAAGATTAGAAGGTAAGTAAGGTGTTAGGATGGATTGGAGAGTATTGATGGTCTGTGAGAAACGGTATTAGTTAAGGACGGCACCCGTTGTGGGATGCATTGTGATTGTGACATGATCTGTGAAGCATTTTAGGAATAAGAAACGGCATGATGAAAGTGATTCTTGCCGCTGTGTGGGGGCACATTCAGCTGCCGTGGTAATCCTGTTGTGAGACGAAAGGTGCTCTCGGCTTAGAGTAATAGACACTGAATAGTTTATTACAACTGAGAACTTGGTTGGACTTCCTAAACTGGATGTCAGAGTCAGAGGAGAGGTTGCAGTTGAGTCTGCCTTCTCAAAGCTGTGTGTGAACTGAAAGTGCTGGTCTGGAACACAGCAACACCATCCAGTTGTCCATTCAGAAACTACTTAGTATGCCAGGCACTGGGGAGCCTAGAATAAGCAAAAAGCAGACATGGGCATCAGAAAAATTCAAAAGGTTAAAGGTGTAGGAGTTTGGTTAGTTAATTTTGCTGACATCCAAGCAGTTCTTTTTAGGACCAGCCCTATAGCCTAGCAGTTGAGATACTCAGATTTCACATGGCTGACTATGGTTCAAGTCCTGGCCCCAGAAGCTTGAAACACACCAGGCATGTGACATGCATGCCCTAAATCCTGACAAGATACAGAAATAGTGAAGGGGTGCGATGTGGCTGAGCCCCATCAGGAGGTGCTGTCTCTCTCTCCCTTCTGTGTCTTCCTGGCAAGTACATGCACCTTCTGGCAATTAAAAAATAAGAGATTTCCTTTTAAATGTGTGTATTTGGCAGAGTGAGCAACTAAGTAGAATCATCTGCCTCAGCCATATGGAGTGGTTATAAAACATAAATTGTTTTGCTAAAGAAAAAGCAAAATACTTTTTTAGCAGCCAATTCTTAAGTCCTACTTTTCAATAGAATACATGTCCTTAAATTTTAAAGTAATGTACCCCTTTCACTTGAGTTAATATTTAAGAGTAGAAATAACTTTTCAAGGGGAACCATCAAATGGCATAGTGGTTAAGGCACTGGACACTCCCACATGGCCGAATGCAGTTTGAGTACCAGACCTGGTTGCTTGCTTTCTTACTTTACCTCCTTCTCCCACTTTCTCTCCGTGTATCTTTCTCTCTCTGGTCAAATTAAAATAAATGAATGGATAAATAAAATTAAATAATTGTTTTCTTAAAAAAGTAACTTTTCAAGTATAGGACAGATAATAACTACTATATATAATTGGCATAAGTACTTTTATGGTAAATGAAGACAGTGGGGTTTTTTTGTTTGTTATTTTAAGAGGGATTTTTTTTTTTTTTTTTTGCTATAGGGCATATGATTGCTGGAGAGACAGAGACAGTAAATGAGAAATTACTCCCCAGGGGCTATGGCCACAATGCAATCCCTTCTTCATTTTTTTTTAACGGGATTTTGGGCACGCATGTACATGGACCCAGTGTAATGTTTAAGCCACCAGGTCCAAGATTCAAACTGTGGTTGACTACGTAGGAGTCCAGCAACGTAATCATTGCACCATCTGCTCATGCCAACACAGTAGTTTTTTTAAAAATAGTTAATTTCAGAGAAAGAACTGGAATGAAATACTCACTTGCAATATTCATAAATTGCAGTCCAAGTCATAATGCCTTGAATAGATTTTCTGTTGTTGTCTTCAGTCAGTAAAACTTCATTACCCTAAAGATACTCCATCTTTTTTCCTGATTTTGTGGCTATAACTTTTTTTTTTTTTTTGGAGAGGTTTTTGCTATAGGGCGCGTGCGCTCGCCAGAAAGACAGAGAGAGACAGAGACAGAAAGCGAGAAATCACCCCCCAGGTGGGATGGACACGCCACAATCCCTTCTCCTCCATTCTCCTCTTGGGATCTTGGGCACGCACACACACACGCCCGGCATGAGTTTAAGCCACTGGATCCGGGACTTGAACCGTGGTCAACTCTTTGGGAGTCCAGTGACATAGCCATTATGCTAACTGCTGGTCCCTCTGTGACTATAACTTTCTAAAAATATTTATCTAATTTTATTTATCATTATTATTATTTTGTTTTTAATTTGCTACAGGGTACGTGTGCTCTCCAGAGAGAAACATGAGCAGGGTGGGAGAAAGAGAAAAAGAGAGGTCCAAGACTCAAACCCATGTGGGAATCCAGCACCCCAACCTCTACACCACCTGCTGGCCCCGTGAATATGTTTTTAGTTAATAATATTCCATTAAATGTCACATGTAATAGAAAGATTTTTACCAATGAGTGTTAAAAGACAATAGGTAGGACCAGCCAGTGGTGTGGTGCTGAAGTCAGGGGCCAGATCCCCCATAGCTAACTGCACTGTATTACAGTCCCAGACCCTGTGTCTTGAAAAACATGACCAGCATGTGTGCATCAGTGCTCGTGTACCCCAAATCCCAAGGGGAATGGCCATCTCCCCTACCCCTTACCCCCAGGAGTAGTGCTTTCTCACTTTCTCTTTCTCTCTTTCACCAGCAAGAACATGTGCCCTATAGCAAATTAAAAAAAAAAAAAAATTAATAACTAAAGACCATAGATAAAGTCAGGATTTTGAAAAATCATAAAGCATTAGATTTCCTGGATATTTTCTTAAGACACTAGTTGCCTTTATTCCCGTATAACTTTCTGCACAGTGAGCTGTAGTTTAATTATTTATAGAACTTTTTAAAAAATCTACCTATAATGTGTAGATCACCTATTACATTTGTCAAGATCAGATGCGCAGCAGCTGTTTGGTAGTGATGTGGAATTGCAATATTCGATGGCCCTGTCCTATAGCATCGTGGACCCTATTAGCATGCACATGCTAGAACCTGGTTTTTACCTTGCTTGTAGGCCACTGATAAGAAGATTTAAATGACTGTGGAAAGACTTTTGCTCCAGGGCAAAGAACTCAATAGAAACCCATTTATGTACCTTCTCTGTGTGGTATTGAATGACACAAACTGGTAGTGGAATGTATTCATTCATATGTAAAGGTCGTTCTTCCAGGGAGCTGCCAGGGTCTGATAAGGGGGGTGGGAGGGGAAGCAGTGCTTTTATAGTATGTGTTTAAGCCTTCCAAGAATTACCTGCACAGATACTACTCATTACGCTGGTTCCATCCCACGAGAAATGTGTCCACAGGCAAATGTATCTTTATCTAATTTTGAAGAGATTGTTGTTTTTCTGCAAAGATAGCTTCTGGAACTGCTGATGTGATCCTTGTAAAAATGCAAATTGTATCAACTCCGCTGCTGCTTATCAGATGTATGGGCCTCTGCCAGTAAGCAATGCAGTGTGATGAAGAACAGTTTACATCTTGGCTTGAACAACATTTCATAAATGGATTTTTATCTTAACTATTCTACCTCTACACTCTGAGCCCATTTTAGAGCATAATTTATATTAAAGTTAATGTGATTTTAAGATTTTGGTATACATATTTAGAGCAGTTCACATTTGCAGTTTTATGGACCTTCCATTAAAATGACGAGGTCATCATTCTTTAATAATCTTTTCCCAGTGCCATTGTATTATTAGGACTTAAAGAGAGGCTTATAGTCAGCGTGGATCTGACCCCTCTTTAGCTCATCATGAAAAACTTACTGCCTAGGTGTTGTTTTAATACTTTAGTTTCAAGGAAAAGAATGTTGTTTTTAATCATTAGTGGTATATATAGTCTCTAAAGCAGAGAGCCATGAGTTTTAACTGTGTACCTGTTCGCCATTTAAATTCTAAGCTCCCATTTGACTGAGGGAAGGACTCACTGTTCTGGTCTTAGAGACATGTTTCTTTCTTTTTTAGTGCCCCTTCTTTGTTGATGCCTCTTCCTGGAACTAAAGCATTGTCTTCAGTGGATAAATATGCTGTATTTAAAGGAATTGCAGCAGACAAATCTTCTGAAAATAATGTCCCATTTGGAGGTAACAATTCTCATAAGCCTACAACTGTAGCATTTCATTAAACTGCATAAAACTTTGTTTTACGTGGTGACCTTTTATGTAAAAATGTAAAATATGCATACCCCATATTAAGCATGTTTGGTTAACCGGGTCTTTCTACTTAAGTTGTGATCTCAGTGTTCCTAACCTTAATTGAGCTTCTGTCTTCCCATCATAGAGCCTGGTGATAAATACAGTGCTTTCAGAGAACTTGAACAGACTACAGCAGAAAGTAAATCTTTAGGTAAGTTTTTGATTCCTTAAATGGATAAATTACTTCCAATTTTAAGAAAGGGTTTTCAGTGGTTCTTTCACTAATACTCTTGAATCTTAGTGTGTGTGTGTGTGTGTGTGTGTGTGTGTTTAGGAGCAAAAATACCTGAATAATTCAAATAATATATAGTAGTGATTTTTATGATGGCTATTTAAACTGTAGAGTTTTTATTTTTTAGAGGTGTTTTTTGCCATAGGGCACATGAGCTAGCCAGTGAGTGATAGAGGGAAAGCGAGAAATTACTCCTCAGAGGGGATGGCCACACTGCAGTTCCTTCTCCTCCATTCTCCTCTCAGGATTTTGGGCACATACACGTGTGCAGCAGTTGTGCTTTCTAAGCCATCAGGTCTGGCATTCAAACCATGCAGTAGCCATCTGACATCTAGTGCCTTAACCAGGAAGCCACCTGTTGGCCCCAAACTAAATACTTTAGTTAAAAAAAAAAAAAAAAAAAGTGAAGTTTTTTGTTAAGCCTACTGTTTTGTAAGTATTGTGATAGGTACAAAGTAGGTAATTATCTTCTGAAAAATAAAACATACTTTTTTGTGGCTCTGGAAATTATAAGGAAGCAAATATGGTTCAGTTATTGGGAATTATTTTTCCAATAAATAAAATTTAGGAAAAATTTCAAATAAATGTAATTTCCACTAAAAACAGTACATTCTCTTTCACTGGAATTCAGCAAGCCAAGTTAGATTCTTTTTTTTAATTTTTTTTTAGAATTATTTATTTAATTTTATTTATTCGTTCATTTATCTTCATTTGACCAGAGACAGACACACAAAGAGAAGAAAAGTGAAAAGGCAAGCCACCAGGTCTAGGACTCAAACTCTGGTCAGCCATGTGGGAATGTCCAGCACCTTAACCACCACACCACCTGTTGGCCCACGCCAAGTTAGATTCTTACATCAAATAGCAGAGCTGTGACTGTATTTGCTTCCTGTAATATTCAACAAGACTTGAACTGTTAATTGTGCTGTAACCCATAGACTATGCACAAGGCACCAACTAGTCTTTTGCCTATCAAGATCTTTTTCTTTTACCTGCCAATCACCATCTGGAAAGAAAATATCCTAAACCACGGTCACTACTACATATCAAGCATGAGAAGCTTGACAGTCCCAGAAGTGTGACACAGAACTGCCTCACTTCCCTAATGCTAGAGGACACAGTTAAAAAGGCATTGTTTGAGACTTACTTCTTCTCCAGCAGAGGGCCCCAAGAGTGGTATGAAAAAGAAATGCCCCACATTAGACAGAATTTCCTTCCACAGTTCTAAGTACTCCCTGCTCTTCATGAACATCAGCTAAAACTCATTAAGAAACAAACAGTGATAACTGGTGGGGGGGAGCGGGAAGGGAAGGCCCAGTTTTGTTGTATACGAGTTAAGCCCTGTGCATTGGGAGCTGGATCCCACCTGGCTAATTATGATTGAAACCCCAGCCCCAGCAGCTTGAAAAATACACTAGGTGAATATGTGTACAAAATCCTGGTGGAATGGAGAAATGGAGGAACAAGGATTGTGACATGACCATACGCTGTTAAGAATGGTTTCTGGGACCAGCAGTTAGCGTAATGGCTATGTCATTGGACTCCCATGTAGTTGACCGTGGTTCGAGTCCCAGGCCCGGTGGCTTAAACTCATGCCGGGCTCATGTGCGTGCGTGCCCAAGATTCCGAGAATGGAGAAGAAGGGATTGTGGCGTGGCCTTCCCCCTTGGGGGGTGATTTCTCGCTTTCTGGGCGTGTGGGGATTATTTCTCTCTCTCTGTCTCTCTGTCTCTCTCTGACTTAATGGCAAGCGCACGCACCCTATAGCAAAAAACTCTCAAAAAAAAAAAAGAGTGGCTTCTGTTTTATCTCTCTAGCAAGCACATATGCCCTCTGACAATTGACAAAAGAGGAAAATAAAATAAAAATGAAAGGACCTTTGGATTCATACAAAGATAACCAAGTGCAGGCAAGTTAAGACTCAACCTAACTAGCATTTTTACCAAATTTGTCATGTTTTAATGTTGAGAGCTCGACAGAAGAAAGGGAGTGCCATGTAGCACTTTAGAATGTCAGACCACAACTAAAACAAACTGAAGCAGGAGCCAAACAGTGCCCACTTAGATATGTTTGAGAACGTTGACACCAGTGTTCAGTCATCTGCCTACTCATCCAGGAAGGCAGGGATTGATCAATTATTAAATTTCGTAGGCGTCCAACTCAATCACCACTTTTTAAGATTTTTCAAGATTAACTGTAATACAATGAGAATGACAAAGAGAGGGAGTTTACATATATGTGTGGCTACCATCTCTGAAAAGAAGGTTTAAATGGAGTGGAAGGAAATATATTGATAGAATACGAGCCCTATTATATACTGGAAGTTGTTTGTAATTAATTTCTTTCTTAAAAAAGAATTATATATTTAATTTATTATTATTTTAATTTGACCAGAGCGAGAAAGTGAGAAAGCAAGCCACTAGGTTTGGGACTTGAACCGCTGCTGGCAGTCCAGAGCCTTAACCACCATTCCACCTGCTGGTCTTTGTTTGTAATTAATTGGTACTGTAAATACTAGAAGTAATGTAAAGAGTTTAGGTGATTTATAGATTATATCCTCCAAAGCTTAACTGTTAATGTTTTCAATATGTATACTTTAATGAGGATTTCTTTCGGGGAACAGTATCAGATTATATCTTTCTGTATTTACTGAATGCTCTAACTTGGGATGTCTTTCAATAATTATTTATTTCCACCCTTCTCAGGGTAGAGGAGATTATATGAAAGTAAGACAGAGGTGATTGAAACTGTACTGCTTAAACAGTTCTGAAAATGGAAACCCTCCTCTTATACAAGTATCCAACCCCTTATAGCTCTTAGGTTCTAGAAATGCTTCCTTGTGTTTCCTCCAAGCCTTTAGGACGTAATAGGTATATCTTTGTCAGTGCCTGTATCAGGTGGCAGGAGTACAAAGATAAAATCTAGAGGAACTTTTTTAAATTAATTAATTTTTTTAAGGTTTTTGCCGTAGTACATGTGTGCTCGCCAGAGAAAGAGAGGGAAAGTTAGAGGGGATGGAAAATTGCAATCCAGTCTCCTCCATTGTCCCCTCAGGGTTTTGGGCATGCACACACATGTACCTGGCATGATTTTCAAGCTCCTAGGTCTGGAACTCGAACCGTGGTCAGCCATATGGGACTCTACACCTTAGCCACTGTGCTGCCTGCTAGCCCAAGGAACGTTTTAAAGTTTTTTTTATTTTATTTTATTTATTTATTTATTTATTTTATTTTATTTTATTTTTTTTTCCATGAGAGAGACAGAGACAGGCAGGCAGGCAGGCATTCTTAGCAGGATCTTCATTCACATCATGATCTACCCCTAGACTCAGTTGGCCCTGATCACAGGCTCACATGGACACCTGGTATGCTTAGGGAGGTCCCAGGATGAGACTCCAAGACCCTTTTTATGTGGATATGGTTTTGCCATTACCAGGTACCCCTAGAGAAACTTTTGACTTCAATTTTTGTTTACTCCTGACAATGGTTTTATCAACTTTTTTTTTTTTTTAACACGAAAGCAAGTTTATAGTTTTCTTAGGTTACTAAATGACAGAGTTCACCAATTCCTTTTTTCTACCTCCGTAGTTTAAGCTATAAACTAATATAAATGAAGAAAATGTTTTATATGGAAAAGTGCCTTTTTTTAACATTTAGCAAAAAATGTTTCTTTGATATTTTTATAGGTCCTAAAAAATGACAGAGAGGGAAACTTTGGAGGATTCATAAGTTAATTGAAAAGCTGCCCTTGAAAAAATTTGGTTAATGTACCTTCAGATATGCAAGCTTCTAGTAACTCTAACTAAAAATTCCCTTAGTATTTGAACTTCTGAACCCACCCATTTTATTTCCTTTTAACCCTTTTACCCAGCTTACATTTCTAATGGAAAAGTTTACAATTCATCAGTAAGTTTAGTTTGTTGTGGTGTTTTTGGGGGTTTTTTTGTTTGTTTTTTGGGGGTTTTTTTGTAACAAAGCAAGTCTTGTCAATTTCACAAATATTTCGAAGTAGCATATCAAAAATTCAGGGTGTGATAAAATTGGCTGCTTATTACCTTTACATTTTTAGAAATAATGGAAATATAATCATTGATACAATTGTCTAAAATGCCGGAGTGATTTTTTTATTAAAGTTATACACCTGCTTCTCCAGTCAATGTGTGAAATTGACTTCAGATTTATTAGTGGTATGCCTTAAAAACATAAATGACAGGAAATCTGAATGCAGTTTCTCTTTTTTTAAAATTCCCTAAAACTAAATCAGTTTTTTTTTTTAATCTATGCATTGTGCTGGTGAATTGGTTGGATATCTCAGAAGAGAAAATACCAGCTCCTATTGTTTTCAGTGCTTTTTTCTTTTATAATTTGCCAGATGCAAATTGTGTGCCACACAGGGGAGGGGGAGAAAACACCCCCAGGGGGAATGTTCACACTTCAATTCCTTTTCTCCACTTCTCTCTCCCCTTGGGGATTCCGGGTATGCACATGCACACATGCTCCTAGTGTAGGTGTTTTTCAAGCTGCCAGGTCTAGACCCAAGTTGCATAGTTGGCCACGTGGGATCCAGCTGCCTTAACCACTGTGCTTTGGGCTGGCCCTTCAGTGCTTTTTCTATTTGACATATCAAAGTGTATATTATGTTACAAATACAGTATATTTAAAGGCCGCGTTATTTTATTTGCCAATTTTAAGAACTCGATTTTGGCTCTAAATGCATGTTTGTTTGTTTTTAGTTTGCTATAGGGCTCATGGGCTCTCCAGACACACACACACACACACACACACAGAGAGAGAGAGAGAGAGAGAGAAAGAAATCACCCCTGTCACGGGTAGCCACTCCATAATCCCTTCTCCTCCATTCTTTCAGGATTTAGGGCATGTACGCACCACAGGTCCAGCATGATATTTGAGCTGCTTGGTCTGACAGGTCTTGGACTTAAGCAACACAATTGACTCTGTGGAATCTAGTACTTTAACCACCATGCCGCCAACTGGCCCGCTAGATGAATTTTTATGATTCATATCCTTCCTTGTCTAATTTTTAGGGGAAAGTTAAATTTTAAAAAATGGGCGAGGCAATTAATGTATTTTAATTTATTAATCCAGAAATGGCGGTCATTTTTTAAAATAATCAATGATGTCAGTTAGTATAGCTATATTTGTATTTGATTTATCTCTGGTTTTCATTATCTGAGAGTAAATTTTATGGTAGACCTTCAGAACTTTTTTTTTTTTTTGGAGAGGTTTTTGCTATAGGGCGTGTGCACTCTCCAGAAAGCGAGAAATCACCCCCAGGGAATGCCACATTCACACACACATGCCACAATCCCTTTTCCTCCATTCTCTCAGGATCTTGGGCACACCTCACATGCGCCTTGTGTGAGTTTAGGCCACCGGGTTAAAGGACTCAAACCGCAGTCAACTATGTGGGAGCCCAGTGATGTAGCCATTACACCAACTGCTGGTCCCACTGTATTTTTTTAAGACAGATTTTTGCTGTAGGGCACATGTGCTCGCGAGAGATATATAGAGAGAGTGACAGAAAGCAAGAAGTCACTACCGGCAGGATAGCCATTTCGCAATCCCTTCTCTTCCGTTCTCTTCCCGGGATCTTGGGCATTCACACACACATATCCAGTGTGAGTTTATTTTGTTTGTTTGTTTGTTTGTTTGTTTTTGGAGAGGTTTTTTGCTATAGGGTGTGTGCGCCAGAAAGACAGAGACAGACAGAGATAGAAAGTGAGAAATCACCCCCCAGGGAAAATGGCCACGCCGCAATCCCTTCTCCTCTCGGGATCTCGGGCATGCACACACATGCACCTGGCATGAGTTTAAACCACCAGGTCTGGGACTCGAACCGCGGTCGACTACACAGGAGTTCAGCGACATAGCCATTATGCTAATTGCTGGTCCCCCAGTGTGAGTTTAGGAAACCCTACTAAGAATCAGCTCAGATTTTTTTTTTTAAGATATTTTTGTTACAGGACTCATGGGCTCACCAGAGAGACAGAGAGAGATAGAAAGTGAGATATCAGCCCCCAGGGGGAATGACCACATTGCAATCCCTTCTCCTCCATTCTCCTCTCCGGATTTTGAACCTGTACGCACATGCGCCCCAGCATGGGTTTTAAGCCACCAGGTCTGGGATTTGAACTGCAGTCAACTACATGGGAGTTCAGTGATGTAACCATTATGCCATCTGCCGCTCCTCAGCTCAGATTTTTATCAGGGTCTTAAGGGAGTCTATTTAATTTTGTATGAGATGTACTTAAGTACCTATCTTCTCTAAACAAAAAATAAAAAATTCTATCCATAATCCTGTCCTCAGAGTACCACATTCTGAACTAAAGTCTTAAGTTACAGCCTCTGAAACTTTAATTTTAAGAGAGATTTTTGCTGTAGAGTGTGTGTGCTCGCTAGAGACACAGATAGAGAGATAGAAAATGAGAAATCACTCCCCGGGGGGATGTCCACACCGCAGTCCCTTCACCTCCGTTCTCCTCTGAGGATCTTGGGCACGCACGCACACATATGCACCTGGTACGAGTTTTTAAGTCGCCAGGCCCAGGACTTAAACCGTGGTTGACTACATGGGAGTCCAGCAACATAACCATTATGCCATCTGCTGGTCCCCTAATTTTTTTTTTTAATAACATAATATTTGTCTTTAAAGAACCACTATCTTTAACATGCCTCTCTTCAGAAACCTCCAGCACTTGCCCTGTTGCATGTTTGGCTGCTAGCCATCGAAAGAAAAAATCTGAAGGCAGTGCTTTTGGCCAGCTGAAGGGTTTGGCACTTGGAGAGAGATACTACAATAAATGTATAAGCAAATAAAAATAGTACTCTTGAATATCCTCAATTTGAGTTTTTTTTCTTTCCAGTATTGTGGACACCAATATGTAGTTTGATAGTATTTAAACTGTGATTAATGTCAAGCCAGTAGAAAAGTCTATGAAATTAGTCTTGCAGTTTACTCCTGTGCATTGTATGAAGTTTTCAGTTAAGCATGCTTTAGTTTTTGCTGTAGGGTTCGTGAGCTCACCAGAAAGAGGGTTGGATAACTACGCTGCCATCCCTCCCCCTCCATTCTCCTTTCAGGATTTTGGGCTTGCACACACACACATCCTCATGATTTTCAAACCACTTTGTCTAGCACTCAGACCACTAAGTCAGCCGTGTGAGATACAGCACTCTGGCTCCCACATCACCTGTTGGTCCCTCAGTTTAGCATTCTTATTTATTTGGTTGTATTTTTTTCTTTCAGGAGAAAGCTTTGCAGAATTCAGATCTGCAGGAACTGATGATGGTTTCACCGATTTTAAAACAGCCGATAGCGTATCACCAGTAGAGCCACCAACAAAAGACAAAACTTTTCAAGCATCCTTCCCCTCAGGACCTATACAACAGAAACAACAAACACAAGTGAAAACTCCTCTGAACTTAGCAGATTTAGATATGTTTTCCTCAGTTAATAGCAGTGAAAAACAGTTGTCTTTTTCAACCACATTTAGTGCATCAAAATCAGTTTCCTCACGACCACAGCCAACAGCTTCTACTCCAACTGTGACTGCATTGGCATCCACTAAGACTTCTAGTTTGGCTGATGATTTTGGAGAATTCAACCTTTTTGGAGAATATTCTAGCCCAGCACCTGCTGGGGAACAGGATGACTTTGCAGATTTTATGGCTTTTGGTAACAGCTCTATTTCATCTGAGCAAAAAGCAGATGACAAATATGATGCCCTAAAAGAGGAAACTAATCCTCTTCCTCTGACCAGCAACTTGGGCAGCACAGTGAAGAGTGGACAGAACCCAGCTGCTGTGTCTACAAAGTATGATGTCTTCAAACAACTTTCCCTGGAAGGATCTGGACTCGGTGTTGAAGACCTGAAAGATAGCACTGCTTCAGGAAAAAATGACGATGATTTTGCTGACTTTCACTCTAATAAATTTTCTTCCATAAACTCAGACAAATCCCTGGGAGAGAAGGCGGTGGCTTTCAGACATACCAAGGAAGACTCTGCTTCCGTGAAGTCCTTGGATCTCCCTTCCATTGGTGGCAGCAGTGTTGGCAAGGAGGACTCTGAAGATGCACTCTCTGTTCAGTTTGACATGAAATTGGCTGATGTGGGAGGAGATCTTAAGCATGTCATGTCTGATAGCTCTTTGGATTTACCGACAGTTAGTGGCCAGCATCCGCCTGCTGCAGGTGAGGAATTGGTGAGATTGCTCTGGTGATAGTGATGTAGATTTCTAAGGTGATTCTGTGGGTATTCATTTACATAAGAGTAAGGCTCTGGCCCTTACTGGAACAAATTTTTAATAATTAACCTCTTTATTGCCAGTTTCCTTAAAGCAGCGTTAAAATTGATTCTATGAATACTTGGCTATGTGGATACCATGACTACTGTGGAACTTAGATTGGATAGTTAATTTTTTTTTTAATGTTTGAAATCTAACACCAACTTGGTATTAGAGGCACATAAAAACCCACTGCTAAATGAACCCTACATTGCCAGAAATTTTATAAAGATTTTTGCAGTGTCAGCAACATTCCTCCATTTCTGTGAGCAAAATCAGTGCTTCTCTCTCCCGTGTCTTCTCTTGGGTATCTTTAGCAGCTGCCAACACAGTATTCTGTTTGGTTTACAGAAACTGACTCTTGTTAGGCCAAGAACATAAACATTTCTATCTGGTTGTATAACAGTTTGCCACATCCCTTTAAGAGGAAAGGAGAAAAAAAGAGCTTATATGTGGATGTCCTGTATGTCAGGGTCTAGCGAGGAGGAGAGTGTATGTTAGTGGAATCCAGGTACTGTTCAGTGTTAATTCTATTACTAGAGATAGTAAGTTGTAACAAGTCAGTAGATGCTAGGATAGGGTAACTACTAACTTTCTGATAAGATGTTTGAAAGCATCTTATTAGGGAGCCCTCTTTAAATTCTGTGTGGATTTACATGTAGCAGTTTATTCTCCAGTCCAACTTCCTGTCATTAAAAACTAGATTCCCAAGTGTCCTAGTTTTTGTTTTGTTTTGTTTTTTTTGATATGTGTATAGAAAGATAAACCTATTTTGTGGCCTTTAATAATGAGAAATATCTCAGCATTACTGTTTTATTCTAGAAAATGTATTATGCATATGAAGGGTTTGGATTTTTTTTAACTGCAGAGGGACACACAAGACACTTCCACGTTTACAGGTTCAGGCAGAAATTGCAAAATACTACAGCTTTTACATATGCCAAATTGGTAAGTCAGAAAAGAAAATTGCATTCATCCTTTAATTATTGAGATATTGGAGGTACTTTTAAACAGGGTGCTGAATCAGGGGCAAGTGCGCGGAGACACGGTAGGGCTCATGTTACTACTCGCTAAGGCATTTCCAAGTCCAGTAGGCTGGCCAAAGGGCTCCTTGTGCCCTTGACTGTCTACATTTTTTTTTTTTTT